TGGCCCGAATTAGGCGGCGTCGCGCTCTCTCGCTCGGCTGCCTCGCGAAAGGGACGCGCAGTGCGTGCGCCGCACGCGCCCTCGATTCTGTCGCTCGCAGAAACGTCTCGCGCGCGCGCGGCAACGGCAGAAGCTTAGGGGGAGAGGAGACACTCGGAGCCACAGCCGTCCGACTTTTCGAGCGTAATTACTTGATGTGCCGACGTCGAGCGCGGGGGATTCAGCTGTATACAATAACGCCTAAGTGCCGGGTCCAATCGAGTGTGGGATCGCGTGCTCACGGCGGCTATCAGTTTGCCGCGTTTTGCGGCTCGGACGAACCTGTTTGCGTACGCAGCGGCATTAAGCGCAACTCTATAACGTTCCCCAAAGCCAATCAGAAGCTGAATTGCGCTCGAGAGTCACTGGAACTCAATCGATAGGATATTATGAGATACTTGGGGCTTTTCCAAGTATGGCGTGCTATGATAGCTAGTGACGCGAACGTAACAACAGTCACGGCAACTGCATTTCCATTTAGAAATGTTCGGGAAAAGAAAAGAAATAGACAACAAAGCGAACGAACGGAGAACCATAGCGGTTCTTGCAATGAAGTACGCGCACGCTGTCATTTTATAACTTTTTACCGTAGACGTCGTAGTTTGTCTCCGTTGTTGTTGCCCGCCGTTTAAAGCAACACCGCGTGCATTTTTCGCGCACGGCTAATCACAGAGCCTCATGAAAGTTTTATAAAAGCAGATGAAAAAAGAAGAAGGAGGATAGGCTGGCGCGCGCGATAATGCAAACGAGCAGAGGTTATTACGAGAGCGCGAGGGGGAAATCGGCGAGATTGAAGCGCGCGCACGATACGCGCGCAGGCCGGAGAAAAGCATCCTCTCGACGCTTAACGGTTCGCCTATCCTTCTTGGTAAGATCCGGAAGCACGCGAAACGCATTTCGTACTTACTGTACCGCGACACACGCGCGCGCATAGAGCCTGAAACGCGGTACGTTTCGAGCAACAACACATGACACCCGCGACGTCGATGGAGAGCAGAGAAGAAGAAAGCTCGCCTACGAAATCCTTGGTGCGAGGTACACACAGGCGAGCTCGCTGCTGGCTGCCGCCGAGGGAAGAATTGCAGCGAATGCACAAAAGAGCCGGAGAGAGTGTCGTTATATAGTGTTTCGCGAACGCGAGACACGTCACGATTATTATATGCGACGACGAGTAGTGTGTGTGTGTGTGTGTGTGTGTGTGTGTGTGTGTGTGTGTGTGTGTGTGTGTGTGTGTGTGTGTGTGTGTAAGAGATAGAGAGAGATGGCGAAGGTTTCGGCAATCTCGACGAGAGAAAAGAAATGCGCAGCGTCGCTTTTTTAATTAGACGGGCTGCAGCTTTGCAATGCTATTTCTTAAACTGCGCCGGGTCGCGAAATTATTTAACGAGTCTCGCCGTACTCGTTGTGCAATCCCAAGTGAGCGCTCATCCACGCGAGGCAGCTTCGAGCATTCTACGATAACTGTTTATCGAATTTTGATGATTGCTCTTCGGGGAGATGCGCAGCGTAAAACGACACGGCGGTATAATCTGGAAATTAGCGACTGGTGCAATCGTAAATTGTTGCGCGAGCTGCAGAGATTTGTTGCGCATAATGAGCTACTAAAAGGAAGCTCGGCGCAGCGCAACGTGAAAATTGTAGAACGAGCATACGACGTCTCAATCGAACTTGCGCGTTGTGAGCGTCAAATGCAAATTAGCGTCTAATGCCAGCCTCCGCGGCGGCCGCTTGTGAATTTAACTGCCAGCCACAATAACAATGGCGATTAATTTCGCCCCGCGTCGTCGTGATGAAAATTGAAAATATAACATAGACGCGCATTAAAGTGCGCTTCAACGACACGACGCTTGGGAAAACAAGTTTTTACCCCGCGACGGCGTAGTGTCGCCACGGTAATAACATAAAATTCGTAGCGACTCTGTCATCGTATACGGTTACAAGGGGCATTGTGCAGAAACAGAGTGGACGCTTATTTTGTATTAACGTCGTAACCGCGACGATTTACAACTGGCGTGACGGCGAAACGATTGTTTCTTACGGTGACTTTTCGTGCGCGGCTAAAATAGAAGGAAAAAAAAGGCGGACGAGAGATCAAAGTCCTGAGACGCGGGGAAGCTGAGTCTGACTCATCGCGAAAGCGTTAATGAATCGAGCCTTGAGTTACAATCTATCGACGCGAGGGCGAACAGTCGGCAATCAATAATGATTTTCCATTTTCCAGTCTTCTCGTGATTCGATAAACTCTTGCCATTGACAATGAGCGAGTAATTGCATCAAGCGTGATTCCGTGCGGGAACAATTGCGAAAGACAACGACGAGTAGAGGAAGCTAATCGAAACTTTTTCAATTCGCCCAAGTCCCACAAAACCCACGCGCTAACACAGACACGCGCGCGCGCGCACACGAGAGAGACGAGCAGACGTTAAAAAGAGAATAGCGCAAAGCAAAAGGATGTCGACGGAGAGTAAGTATAGTTCGCGGTCCCACCCAAAGTCGGCGCATATGTGCATGCGGTTCGCTCGTCTCGAACGTCGTGAGTGCCTTTTAACGCAGTTATCAAGGCGCGTGCTATTCTTTTATTTTTTTTTTTTTTCCAAATCGACGCGCGTCCCTTCTATCCCTTCTCGTCTGTGGCTGCAGCGCCTTCAAAGACCTTGGCGAACTTTGAAGCGTGGGTGTAACATTTATAAAGCGAGATCGAAATCAGGATGGCGCGTCGCCTCGCTCTGTCGCGGCAGTTGAGCTTCTATTGTTTTGTGTTTTTCCGTTACGGAGCTGCTAAAGCAACGTGGGCGTTCAACACGAGTGGCCGTCGCTGCGGTACTGCCAAAGCTTGCGAAAAATTCGCGAGTCCCGAAAAACCCAAATCTCGCGGAAATCCAGTTGTTTCCAGAAGCAAGGCAGACGTATTTCTCTTTTTTCCCGTAGACGCTTTTCGCGACGTACATTTAAAATCGAGCCCGCGCGAGGGGGTTGCGAAAATATCGAAGCGCGCAAAAACTTGTTTCGTCGCTCGCAAGCGAATTTGCTGCTTTAGCACGCTTATCGAAAACACTTTTGAAACAATAGCGAGTCGCTTCGAGGATTTTATGAAATCTTGATGTGTGCGAGGCGATCGATGAGGAAATGTATTCGTGTGGTTGGTGGAAAATTGATTGCCATTCGGCGAGAAGAAAGCAAGCGGCAAGCTCTTTAAATTTTCCGCGACCCTCACCCACGAAAGACCTCGGGGGCACGTAAAAACAAAAGCAGCGCACAAGAGAGAGAGACAGACAGAGGGGGCGGCGTTCTTTGGAAAAAAGCAAAGTAGCTGGAGAATGATGTGGTGATATACGCAATGTACACCGTCGTCGTCGCCCAATTGACTGGCAGAGACTTCACCTCCTTTTGGTTTTAATAATGCATGGTGATTCCGAAGAACAGAAAAAAACCATCCAGACCGTTGCAGAGCACGTTTATATTCTTTCTTCTCGTATTGACTGACACGAACTTGAAATTGCGGAGTAAACTTGCGCCAGAAAGTAAATCGATTTGTTCCAGTTGCAAAACTTCGCGTCGTTTTTTTTTTCTTGACTGGACTGCACTTCTTTCCTATTTTTCTGGCGCTTGGATACACTATAACTACTTAGAAATATAAAAAGTACTTAAGAGTTATGTATGAAAAAAGTGTGCGTAAGAGTAGAAAATCTATACTTTAGAGCTCTAAAAAGCAGCGAGATGAGAGTTTTTATTTTTTTTCAAAGGAACGGGAAAAATAAAAAACTACCGCAGACTATGCGTGGACTGGAGGACATGAACACAAAAGACACGAGATAACGCGGAGAGAAAAAAACGATTTTGGCCTTCCCTTTTGAGCTCCTTCATTCATTTTTTTGTTACCGCCTGCGATAGAGTACACAGAGAGCGTCGTGTATATACGCGGACCTTTAATTATGAATCCAATCCACACGCTGCTGCCGCTATTGAGTTTGAAAGTGAAACTTTCATTCCCTGCGCACGGGCTCACGTTGATTACTTTTACCGAATCTAACTTTTAGATATCCTACACTCGCTTATCGCTCTCTTGGCTGTCATCGACCATTTTCACCGTTCCCAAAAGAAAATAAATCAGCAGCTATATAACCCTCCCCCTATCACAATTAAAAAGAAACTCGAGAAAGTGCCAAGTGCAATCAAGCAATTCGAAGTAAAATTTCGTTTCCGGATTCATGTTCGCGCAGTAGTACAACCTACCGGGAGAAAGAAAAACCGACAACCGACAAATTTTTGTCGCCTCTATACCTGAGGCACAAAAAATGTGAAACATATAGAGAGCAAAAAAACGCAAGACATTTTCTCATCAAGAAAACTTGGTTCTCGCTGATGGAGAGAGAAAGAGAGAGAGAGAGAGAGAGAGAGAGAGAGAGAGAGAGAGAGAGAGAGAGAGAGAGAGAGAGAGAGAGAGAGAGAGAGAGAGAGAGAGAGAGAAGGAAGCCCTCGAGGGACAAAATGACTAGACTTGCTGTATAGCTGCATTCATCGCTTTTGGGAAGCAGCCTCGAAAAAGAGTCCCACTCGTGTGAGAAGGAAGAGGCCGAGACTCACGTGTGTACACTTCCTGCGGCTCGTGATAGCTAAAACTCATCACGTACGTTAAAAATTGATCTTTTTTGTTCTTTCTCTCACTTTCTGGCCGCCGATGGAGCAACGAAATCCCAAATGTTACAACCCTCAGGGAATAATACCTAATTATCTCGAAGCTTTCCTCCTACACGGGTTCTACTTTTTCCTAATTGCATCGGCGACGGCCAGAGCAAGCTAGTACGTAGCATTCCCTTTAAACGGCACAGCAGCCCTGTCGCCCACGCTCTCCTCTACATATATATACGTGGACTCGCGTATATATACAGATGAAAAAAAAATTGGATATCGATTCGCGCGGGAGTGTGTGCACACACAACCACATGTATATAAACGCGTACCTTTCGGATGCCATGGTGTCCTCGTGGCTGACTGCGTACAAATTTGCTGTTCGCAGTCTTACACAAATTGTAATCTTTTGCAATAAATTGCACGTAGGGGTTACATATTACTGATACACGCACAAATCGGCACACTCTCGCTCTCTCGGACTCACCAACTCGCCATTTTCCACACACAACACACTCGCACACACGTACACGTACGTATACACGAGCGAGAGAGCTGGAGCAGCAGCAACCTCTCGACGCGAGCTCGACCCCTTCGCTACTGCTTCGACTGCCGAGGTTGCCCCGCCGCCATTTTCCCAGTATTAGACCCCCACCTACCAACAAACGATCTCTCGCGCTCTCTCCCTCTCTCTCTTTCTCTCTGATCGAAACGAGCGTGCTGCTGGGCTGCGCCGCACGGCTGTGACCGTCTCCGACCGCTTCGGTTTTGTATTTTTTTTATTTATTTATATCTGCGGTGGATTCGACGGTGGATAGTGAAAGTTCTTTCGATTTTCCAACTGATCTATGAGGTTTGATGGAGTTTCATCAGTTATTTTACTGGTGAATGATTAGTCTGAAGTCGCAACGTTGTGTTTACGTCAGAGAAACCGGAGAGAGCGCGGTTAGGGAGGAGGGGGACGTTGGAATTTTTTGAAATTTCGCGCCGTTCAGTAATGACGGAGATACTGCATGGCTCCGTTATTTTTTTCTCGCTCCTCCGACTACATATACGTACGCTGTCTATTCTCTTCGTTTTTATTAGCATACTTATATGGCGTTGCGCGTTACCCTATCCCCATCGGCGACTGCTTTTGTGTTTTTCGCTTGTTCCCCATTCTACCACGCTTGTCTTTCTCAGTTCTTGCGATAAAATAAAAATGTGCTGATGAGCTCGTTGAACGCACATGACTTCCACTCTATATCAAACGCGAAACTCTAATTAAGTCACACACATACATACACGCACGCATATATATACCATACAGCGCTGAAAGAATCGAAAACAACGTGCAATAATTATTATGGCTGAGTGCATGATACAAGCACACAACACTGTATAGCATCAACTTACATACGAACCGCACGAGCGTGCGGGAAACACGCGAATGATATTCCTTTTCACTGCAGCAACAGCGATGAAGACACGAACTAAATGTAATCTTCTCCTCGCGTGTGTACTTTCACTCTTTACGAAATCGCGTCTTGTCTCTGAAACGCTTTTTCTCTCTAGAGAGCGAGAGTACATGAGAGATGTGTTTTTTGTATTTTCGAGCGAACCCTTTTATCTCCTCTTTTGACGCGACTACGAGAGGCAAAATGCAAGTGCACGCCGCCAACTCTGTATAATGTATACATGCGAGAGTATAAATGGACGTTAGGCGACATCTGACGTGCCTTTTCTATGCCAAGGAAAATATTCGATTGCCTAGCTTAATAAGGATTGCAATTTGCTTGTTGAAGCGATTTTTCTAATTTTGCGATTAGTGCAACGTGATTTTGTGAAGCGCTTAATAATAATAAAGCAATTGTAAAAAGTTTGTGGTACAATATTATAGACATTCTCATATTATTTTCTTTAGTAAAACTCTATAATAATAGTATTATAATATGAAAAGTAAATTTCATGTTGGTTATTAAGTTAATAAAGTTATTAAAGCGACATTGAAATCTTTGTTATGGTAATGGAGAAAGCTGACGTTAATTTTGATTGATCATTATAAAAATAAAAACAACACAACAATTATTGATTAGATTATACCTGGAGTTTAAAATTTTTAAATGTCCCAAGGACGTTTCAATCGCCATCTCTAACTGATCAGCTGGACGACCGCAGACGACTACAAAAAATGACAAAATCCACGCAGCTCTTGTGCTAACAGTGACGCATTCATCCATAGTTTTGTTATTCTAATTTTCCTTGTTATAAATATTATCAATAGCAATTTAAAAGATCAAGCAAAACAGAGTTTAATCTTTTAAATTCTATAACAATATAGTTATTAATTTTCGATCGACAACTGTACTTTGCACTAATTTTTTTCAAGACAAGACTTTATATTGTTATTTTGTTTTGTAATATCATCAAAGTTGCAATGGATCGCGAAGATGAAGTTTTGACAATATTGAAAATCCTAATGATTGGCGAGACCAATGTCGGAAAATCAAGGTATGTTTGAGTATCTTTACTTTGTAGTTCTCTTATTTCTATTTTGAAGCAATCGAATACTCATCCAACCGATCAAATCTATTTACGACGTACTTTTATATTACTTTGTTATGAAGATTTGAGGTTATGTTCAACGTTTGCTTTACGATTATTTTTTAATGGAATTGAACTCTTGAAGCATAACTCAAATTATTGTCAGTACTAACAACTGGAGAGTACTGTAATCAAAACTTTTTTCATTTTGTTATTTAGTATCTTGCTAAGGTTTACGGAGGATGAATTCCATGATAACATACAAAACACAGTTGGGATGGACTACAAGTCTAAAAAAATTACAATCGATGGTAACACAGTTAAGTTAGCTATTTGGGTGAGTGTTATTTAAAGATAATTAAAATATTTATCATGTCAGTCTAATGAAAATCGACTTTTTATTAGGACACTGCTGGACAAGAAAGATTTCGTACACTGACTCCCAACTACTATCGAGATGGTCAAGGAGCTATTTTAGTTTATGATGTTACAGACAGATCAACATTCATAAGATTAGACACATGGTTGAATGAGCTACACACATATTGCAACAAAACAGACATTGTCAAAATGGTTGTTGGGAACAAGATTGATCTTCCCAATAGACAAGTTAGCATAGAAGAGGGTTTACAGTTTGCAAGAAGGCACCAAACATTATACATTGAAAGTAGTGCGAAAACTGCAGATGGAGTAAAATGTTGTTTTGAAGAACTTGTTCAGAAGGTTAAATTTTTATTATTAAAACCATTGAAAAAAAAAATTTTAATAATAAATTTATTTATATTTTTTATTAGATCATTCAAACACCAGGCCTATGGGACACATATTCCTGGAAATCTAATAATGCAAATGGCAGTAGTGGACCAAGGCAACGAATAGGAAAGAAAGGACTGCAACTAACAGATGATTACGAGCCAGACAATTCTTATTCAAGTTGCTATTGCAGTTTATTTTAATTATAAAATATATTGTGAAAGTTGGATTGATTTATTCTCAGATAAGATATAATTCCAATATGCTCATTTTTAATCTTTTTCATGTTGATTGAGTATTTTGCCTATATGAAAATCATTCTTATCAAAAAGATAATTGATATATAATGAAGTTAATACTAATTTTTTAATTTTTATGTAAGATAAAATTGTTTCCTTGCAAATATAATTTGATAACTAGCCGAAACCCATTGATCACAGCATTTTTCTGAAACATTTGTATTACTACTAAAGTAACTAAAGTAAGATGTACTATCAACCACTTTGGGAGCTTTTGTATGTTATATTTTTCAAAAAAAAATTTTTTTATAAATATAAATAAAAACGGAGTTATGACGATGTACACATATATGATGTACTATAAATTACATACATTAATATTGAGTATATAGTAACGTTTTAAAACATTCGATCGTATGATATGAAATCTTTTAAGGAACATGTGATGGTAAGACTAGTACAATGAATACTTTGTAAAAAAATCTTGTAAAATATTTATTTGTAAATAAAAAGTCGTCTTTCCACAACGTTTGCTATTGTTCTTTATTACTATGTTTTTATTTAAAAGTCGAGTATAATCGATTAAATGCATTGTTTCATATCTTGATGTGATTCAATTTGAAATTATGCTATAAAACCATGTAATTGTTAAAGAGTATGAAGATTAATTTTCAAATAAAATACTCATTGTAAAAATTATAAATTACTCTAATTAATTTAATTAATATGCGTTGCTGCAACATCGCAACTTTATCGGCAACCGTAAAGAATGTTACAGCAATGTTTGCGAAACGTTCAAATGTCCGCCTTTGTTTGAAGCCAAATGTTGCGAAAATATTACTGAAATCAATTTTCTGAATGTTATCACAATGTTGGTACAACATATATTTGAAAATCTTTTGAAAATATTTAGGTAACCCTTTAAACATATAAAACCATTACTTACCTCTAAAACATTACAAAAAATTTTATTTCAGCCAACGAAAATATTGCGGAAATATTTTTATAACATTTTGACAATATTTTCGGCAACGTTGATAAAACGTAATTAAAACATTGATAAAACCAATTTGCTCTGGTCAGTACTTAAAATTTTTTATATAGAGCAAAGCGTATTTGTTTTATAAATGTTTTAATAACGTTCTAGAAACGTTTCCAAAAATTTTGTAGAAATATTTTCGCAACAATTTCGTTGACTGAATTAAATACTTTGTTGTTTTAGAAACGTTGTCTAAATGTTGCCAAAAGGTTTTTAAACATACGTTATACAACATTGTGACAACATTCAGAAAATTATTTTTTCCACATTTTGGCAATATTTGGCTTCAAAGGTGGACATTTGAACGTTTTCAAAACATTATTGCAACATTTTTAATGGTTGCCGGAAAAGTTGTAAGGTTTCCAGAAAAATATTTTGGTAACATTTTAGAAACAATTCTTGCTGGCTGAGTAGCGATAAGTTATTTATTCTTAATCTTAAGATTTAAGAAACTTTACAAATTTAAGAATAGCTTATAAAGCAAATCATCAATAATTGCGTAACTCGTTTACCTTTTATATCAACGTGTAAAAATACTCCATTGTGCTTTCCATGCATAATCCATGATGTAGACAACAAGACTAAAAAAGTCTTTGAAAGCAGCCGTGTACAAGTTCGCTATTTGTTCTATATGGTTAAAAGCGTGAAAGGCTATTAAGGACTATAGTTTTTGCTCAATAAACTTTCTAAAAGTTGTTATGTTTATTTCATAAATTACATGAATTTGAAAAGCAATAAAAGAACAAAATTAAATAAAAGAATTTCTTATTTTCAACAGTTTTGATACACCAGTTCCATGCACCACACGGTAATATGTATTCAGAACTTAAACAGCTGCCTCACCGATTGTCGTAATCGCCTTGTGAGGCTTACGATACCGCATGTATATATCCTTGTGCAATCGACTGTTTTTTTTTCATCGTTGGGAACATGAAATTGAAGCCGTCAAATCGGCGGATTATCCCTTTTTATCGCAGTACATATGCAAACGATGGACAATTGATATCACACTTAGGTGCCGACATATCCGCGCTGAGAGAGCAGTTATACTATAATTATTGTTGGAATTAAATAGACTTCCGCAAGGGCTCGAGCTCGGCTTGGTCCACTCGAGTTCGAAGACAATTATTTAGTTGCGCAAGGTATATACATGCTGCACATATACGTCTGGAGCTAACGAGGCGACGAGCCGAGCTCGTGCTTTTCGAGCTTTTGCACAAGACTACTAATTAACCGCGGGAAATATCTTGTTTCGCCTGTTTGTCCACATTGATAATGGTTAGTGGCGAGTTGTGCAAGCACGACTACAAGTATTGCGCGACAATCCATAATGTAGTTTGATCTTGGAGCTTATTTTTCATTTTCTGCTTTTGCTTTTAGCTTAACATGACTGTCGGTAGTCGCTACTATCAGAGAGGTTGAAAAGGTTGCGAAGAAAATATCGCAGCTCACAGAAGAGTTTCACATTCCACGGGATACTCTTTTTACTTTTTTTAAGAATAAGAGAACAATTCTTAGCAATATTACTACATCAAACCAAAATAGATGAAGATGCAGAAGACCAGAACATTCAGTAGTGGATTGATGTGAGAAATGATTCAAGCAAGTTCGTGTCGACATAGCAGTGGGAATACCTGTAAGCGTACCAATTCTCCAAGCTAAAGCTCGAAAAGTTAGTTAATTGTTTGAAGCATTCTAATATCTCAGACTTTTTTATGGAGAAATTAATTTGATTTTTTCATTTTATTTTATAAACAATCGATCGCTAAAAAGACCAACTTTGAGCCAATTATGTTTTTGTAAAGCGAAAAATACAAATATTAATTTATTTAAATAAATAAATATGTACATGGATCTACGAGTATCTAAATGTAGATGCATTATTATTAATTAATAAATGTCGGTTCTCCATAATGTATAAATATGAATATACATATTCTTAAACCTCGATAATTCAAGCTTTTTAATCGCTTTCTCGTTGTTCGATTTATGGGTTCAAGTGTATAATATTTAATAAAATAATTAACACGCTATTTTAATTAAAGCTTTCCTTTACGTTCCTAGTTCGCTATTCGAGTTTAGTTCTAGTTACATTTTTCATTATCTTTTATACATCTCATATTCCTACCAATTATTTTAAAATATTTCATGTGGTTATAAAAAAATTGTTTATTCATATCATTTCAATTGTCGTTATGTTTACATAACAACTTCAGATCTAATTTAATGATAAAAGTATTGATTCATGGTATAATTATACTTGTAGAACACTCATAACTATCAACTATTAAAATATTCTAATTCGATATACCGATGTTCAGTTTAAATTCCGATATGCATTAAATATATACACTGAAGATAGAAGGTGCGCGACGTGTGCACGATGCGTCTGGTCAATTAATAAAAATAAAAACAATTGGTCTAAAAACGAGGAGATTCTCGGCATTTTGTATAACCAATAAATATCTAATATAACGATCATAATTTTGAACAATTGAATGTACTTTTTTCTAGTTTCAATTTCAGATTGTATTATCAAACATGTAATATAAAAATAGGTTTTTTTATGTAAATTAAATAATCGATATTACAACAAAAGATGTGTTGCTCAAGCGAGTGTGCTCTAAGTGATAGTGCTGATATCGTACAATTATGTGTTCGTATAATGGATGATCAGTGCGAAGATGAACAGAACAGCCAAAGATCATTGAATAATTTGAAAAATAAAATAATTAAAGCATACTCAAACAGCAAAGTTACAGACCAAACTTATCATACACAATGCGATGAAATTATTAATCATGGAATCTTCAGTCAAGTCACAATATCAAAGTTATTGAAACACGGTACACGAAAAACGAGATAATGTATTCACGTTTCATTCTTACTTATAATTCACTGTGTTGATTGTTTTCAAGGAATATCTAAAGAAGATATTATAAACATTATGAAATATGGTTTACTAAGTCACAAGTTCAAACATTTAAATCTTTTTCATATTTTAAATATAAGAGAGCAAAACATAAAGTTAGTATGATATCTTTGATGTTACCGTACAAAATTGTAATAGGCACATTAATATATTATTTATAATAAATTGTAGCGGAGATCTTATTCAGAAATTAAGAAATGCCGGGTTCAATGACGAGGAAAGTACTGAAATTGTCTCAAACGGATTAGTATATCAAAATGAATGTTGCGTTTTTCGATTAACCTTACATAATATTTTTGCGACTAAAATTTTGAACTGGCAAGGTCGTATGGTCGAAGCAACAAATTCTATTGTGGAGTTTTTAGAAAAAATAGGCTTAGATGAACATACTCTAAAAATTGTTTCGGAAAAAGGCATTAGTACGGAAACTAAAGAAATAATTGAAAACTTAGGATACAGTGAATTAAAGCAAAAAAATTGTCTTGAAAACACCGAAGTAATTTGATAAATAACAATAAAAATATATACTTATTATTTTGAAAATTTGTAATGTTGTAGCTCGACTATGAAACATCGGGTTCAAATTTAACGAAACGAAGCGCCGAATTTTGTGACTGTAGCATGCCGAGTTCGACAAACAACCAAGAAAACTACGAACGAAGAAATTTTATAAGGTTTTTATATAGGAAGTTTTCGATGGTATTTTTATTATGTTTAATATTAATTACGCATACAACCATAGAAAAAATCTGATGGCTCCTTTGACGTGGGCAATGAGTGAAACATTAAAATATCAGCCAACAGATCCTGTTTATTATATTGCATGTCAACTATTGCGATGGAAACATAATAATGTTGACCCATCCCAAATGAACGAAGTTATTGATTTTATAAAGAAAGCAGAGGTAACTGATTAAATGTTCAAAATAATCAAATTTAGAATGGCAGCAATTAAATAAAAAAAAAGAATAAATATTTATCAAAGGCACGGCATTGTAGAAAATTCTTTTATTATATTCATGGATCTCGTACATTTGTTACATTTATTTGGAAATATTCCGAGCGCAATAAACGCACTCAATATGAGCAGATATTTATTGGAATAAACAAGTATCAGAATTTCACGTCTCATAAGACGCTGACAAACGCCCGTCTATGCAGTGTAAATATTTTCTATTTTCAATTCGACACAAAATATTGATCACAAAAATAAAAAAGTATCTCCTTAAAATTATATCATATCAAAGACTGCCCAAGTAATTACAACTCTAGCGTGGATTCTACAGCATATATTTCATTTTCATGCACGTGAAAACGCGATTGAAAAGATCCGTGATACTTTTATAATTTTAATAAATACTGCACGTTTACATAGATCATCAAGTTATGATATTACAGGGAGCTTCGCTTATTTGCACATTACTTTCAATTTTCGTAAAATCAAAGTACAATAATGTCGAGCTACCCTATAAATGTGTAATGATGTAATATAAACAACGACATATGACATATGTTGAAAGTATTGTGAAATGTATTAATGTAATATTTAACAAAAACACTCTGCCCTTATATAATTATTTGTAAGGTACGTTCGCAAGCTATGCTGGGTTTCAATCCAAGTTTCGTAATATATTTATTTTTATCTTTCCAAGTCTTAATTTTACCAATCAGTATCAATTTTATTATCACAGAATTATTTATTCTCTTGTATAGCATAGCTTGAAAAATTAATATAATATTTACAATTATGTTCTATCTAGTAAATTATATGAAAATGATAGAAAATCTTTAATTTCATTTTTATATATTATGCGAGATATTCAGATTTTAAATGGCAGAATACAACTAATATACCGAGACATAAAATGAAAGTGAACAGAACGATTCAAATAATAATAATGATAATAACAAGAATTAATACTACCAGCATATTTTGCCGTACTCTTCTTCTATGTCGTCAGAGTGGAGGTTGATAAAATAGCAACGTATCAAAATATATGATTTGTTATTTGTTTGGTTTATATCCTGTAGCTAATAACCAAATAACGGACTTTTTTTATAATCGATGTTCATTCGCGTATTTTAAGTATACTAGAATGGAAGTACAAGTGGAAAAGTAATTAAAATTATGTACGTTTTAAATAGACTAATACAAAATAGATAAAATATCCGCATATTATTATTGAATAAACAATAATTAAGGAAAATAATAATTGTTAAATATTTTACGAAGAAATCTAATTACGAAACACACGCAATATCGTAAGCTAATATAATTTTAGAACGTAGAAAAGATATATTATTATATTCATCAAAATTGGTACAAAGGTACATTTCAGACTACTTCTTAGACGGATTGTTAAGAGAATCCCTGCCTGGATCAATCAATTCCTCTTCAAACAGCGCAAACTTATCGAATAATTATGTTAGTAAGATGATTTATCGTTGTTTTTATGAACTCAGATGTTTCAATCTAAGGCCACGTCTTAAGCTAATATCCTCTCGTTAAAAACAAGGAGGTACAAGCAAAAAACATTGTACCGATACGGTATGGATTTCTATTTGACCTTAGACTGCTTTAAACTGAATATTCTTGAAGCTTTGCTATCTTAGCCTTCTCTTCTTCCGACTCATCACGACAGATCATCAACGTATGGGAGAGTCCACATGTTACAGATGTAATATACAATCCCTCTAAAGCTTTCACTTCCATTGGAGTGGTTGAAGATTTTCTCATTTCACCAAAACCCTAAAAATAAATAAATTTCATTAAAGTTTTGGAAAACATGATTACTTGATTATTATTAAAAAGACAAATCTCCTCACCAGTTCACCAAATGTCGGGCTGCAACCCCAAGCAATAACAGAATCATCGGCAGCTACAACAACGCTAGTCTGCGAGCAAGCAATACATCTTATATCCCAACCTGATAGGTCTTGAATGGGTTTTGGATACATATTAGCTTCTCCAGTGCGCTTAGATTGACCGAAAAGCAATACAGATCCGTGTACATTAAGAACAATGCTAAAAGTACTGCCACAAGAGACTGCCTTGACACCGCGATTGGGTGGCTCCAAAAATTTGATGAGTCTTGGGACAAGCTCGTCGCGTTGCTCATTGTGACCAAGACGACCAAATCCTCCAAAGCCCCAGGAGTAGGCACGATTTTTACTGTCTATAGCTACTGTATGATTGTATCCACAACTAAAATCTGCAATCTCTACATCATCAATCGGAGTGACATGTCCATCCTTACTTCTTTCAACATAGACTAAAATTCGCTTAGGTGCCTTCTCAAAGTGGAATGCTAGCTTTGTGCTGGTAATAAAATACTTTCCATCCGTGTTATGACCAAGAGCACCATATTCTGGGCATCCGAAAGAGTACAAGCCACCTGAAAATCAATTTATTGTTGATGATAATATTCGGTAAATATATCAATATAAAAATGTTATCAATTAATCAAACTACCTTTGATATCTAATATCATAGAAAAATCAGCTCCACAGCGTACTTTGACAATAGGAGGACCAGAGTACTTTAACCTTGTAGCAGTAAGGATCATAGGATCTGTTTTTCCAACACCACATTGACCTAACTTATTGTCACCTGCACCAAAAACTAATCCACGACTAGTCAAAAACAGTGTGTGTCCACGTCCACAAGCTGCTCCAATAACAGTGTGGCCTTTTAGAGCTTCCACTTCTGTTGGGTCATCTCGACGTTTTGTATCACCCAAACCCAATTGACCTAAAATAATAAAAATAAACACAAACAATAGATTCATAAATTGGAAAATTAAAAATGTATCACAAACTGTTTTTACCTTTATCATTTCTACCAAACACTAAACATCTATCATCTTCTGTAACAATAACGCTATGAGAAGCAGCAGGTCCCGATGCAATAATTTTTACTCTAGATCCATTCAAATTTTTAAAAGTATGAGGTGTCCATAAACTGCGACCAATATTTACTTTTACACCCTTAGGTGGTGCTTTTCTACCAGCTATATCCCAGTTTGAGAGTCCACACATTAACATAGTTCCTGGTTTTCCCCATCCACCCTAAATTAAAACAATAAAGTTACAAATTTAATCTATAATTAATGTAATCAATAAATTATATCAAATTGAAGTAAAAATATACACTTTCATTATCCTTTGTTACTGTTCTTTACAATGACTATTTTGTAAGAACTGTTCAATATTGGATGAAAGTGTTAATTAAATAATTTTTAAATATCTAATCAAATAATACATTATAAATTCAAGTCAATTTTAATAGCAGCAAAAAAATTAACAATACAATTACTAACATATTTACATCAACACCCATGCTAACCACAATTAATAATGGTGTTTGACAACTAATGACTACAAAAAATGTAGCGTTTGGAAAAACAAGAAATGTAACAAATACAAAACAAAAATAAAAATTCCTATAATTAAATTAACGATTAAGAAAAATACTGTAAACGCGTATAACGGCATTGGTAAAAAAAAGAAAGAAAGGAAAAGATTGGCACAGCTGCTCAAAGTTCCAACAAGTGAGATAGCTAAGAAAAATTGCATAATTCTATCAGCATCTTTTAGCAGAGAAATGTACACATGCAGAGGCTGGTTGTGAAAACCAAAAATAACCGCCACTGCAGATCGGTCGGACCATTCGAATTACAAAAAGGTAACCTTCAAATTTTCTTATGAATTCTTACATCGTACTTCTAAATCTCAATGATAAAAACCAAGAAGACTCCATATTTTACAAATAAAGTAACCAGCGAAACATAAAAAAGAAACAAACACTATCACGTAAAAGGAAAACGAAGCAGCCGCGGCCACGAAGGGAAACGACGCCGAGTCAGTGAAAAAGATTATTTGGCGCGAATGACGATGTTTACCTCAGGTGCTTTAAGCTCGGGAATACTGGAAAGATCAGCGAGATCGTCATCAACGGCATCATCGCCATCGGCATTCAGCTGATGTTCGTCTTCCACATCGGATTCGTGCTCGCTCGAAATGTCCTCTTCGTCATACTCGACCTTACGTTTACTGTTCTTGCCTTTACTTTTGGTAGAGTTGCTTTTTCTTTTGGTCGCTGACATATCCTTGCTTGTATCCTATCTTTGTATAAATTCTTTGTATAAATGGAGTTAAATCAACGAATGAATAGGCGACAACTGTGTCTCTTTTTTCGTAGAGAGAGAGAGAGAGAGAGAGTGAGAGAAAGAGAAAAAGAAGAGAAAAAGAAAGAGAGAGAAAGAGAGAGACGCGTCGTCCGAGCAAGAAACAAGAGATGTATGTGCGGGAACGCGCGCCGCGGCGGTGTAGCGGCTTTTTATTTTAGGCTGGTTTTACAACGGTGCGTCCTAGCTCGCGCCACTTTGTGCGCCTTACTGCGAGGCTCTAAATTGCTTTTCTTTTCTCATACAATTTTGCCGCTTGCAAAAAAATAATTTTACAGTTATCAAAATTCAACTTAAAATGATTTATCGTCCATTGTATAACGATAATTAAACAACTTCGCAATTAATATAAATTTAAGCCATGCTTAATAGATAATTGTTTACTTAATCAAACAACTTATTCATAAGCAGACAGTCTTCATTCATCTATTAATCTTCACAGTTATTTGGTGAAATTTCATTATAAATAATATAAAACACAATAGGCAAGCATATAGACACAAGACACTTATATGATATTTTGCTCGAGGCCGTATACTTCAATTACTGGTCTGACAGTCTTTTGCTTGTTTAAATCATCACGGCATACAGAAATTACTGCCTTCAATCATTAAGGTAATATTGAATACAACGGCAAACCGTTGTATGTGAATTAAATTTTGAATAGCGAAAATTTTAATTACACATGAGCGCAGTACATGCTGACATAGATAAAATGAGATTGTTTGAATCGCGTCAATAAGGCATTGGAAATATTCATCCGGATGCACTTTTACTCTAAAGTGAACGTAGCACCCAACGCTCGGATAGCGTACACACATCCGTTTTCTGTCAGTATATGACAAATGCGTAATTTTTTTGATATTTCAGGAGCTTCTTCTATTTTTCTAACCTTAATTCAACAGTCGTTCATACCATTTGATGAACATTTTTGATGTTATCGCTGGCTGTCGCAGTTTTTGGCTACGAACGCTCATCGTCATCAGCCAAGCTTATACGGCTACGTTTGAATTCAGCTGCCCAAAATTTTACGGTCGTAAATGATGGTGCAGTCTCCGTATACAATGTCCAATTCCTCTTTGATTTGCGTAGGCGTATTGCCTTTTAAAAACAAATATTTAATGACAGCTCGATACTCAAATTTTTCCATTTTCCGTAAAATCTCCACGTTTCACTTATATGATTGTCAAGTAAAAAATTAAGCGGTCAAAATGAGTGAAATTTTGATGAGGACCTCAAAGCATCCACAAACATATCCCAACTTATGTAAATAAGTGCTACCATCTCGAGGTTTAGGTCGGAAACTTTTCAGACAGCCCTCGTATAGCGTTAGAATTTATTGATCGCGACAAAGGGGCAGCTATATGATTAACAGAATTGATTGGTTTCCAGGACGGAAAACTAACGTTGCAGTATTAGCTTTATACGGAATCGCCGTCTCGTTTGGCAGGCGACGCATCTCCTCCTACTCTTTTCCTACATTTAATTACTCCTTTCGCCCAGGCATGACCGCCTCGCGCCGCGCGTATCGGCGACGCGCTCTCTATATCCATACACGTACCACAGTGTTTCTTTGTATAAACGAGCAAAAGCGTTTTCACAAAATTGCTCTTTACCTGATCAAATTTGCTGTCGCAGCGATTGCGATGTAGAACTGCGCGCAGTTTTCTGTGTGCGAAGCGGCAAAATCGAAGCGATCCGGCTTTCAAACAATTGACTAAAATACGGGCAGAGTAATGATTGGAAGACGCGGAGTGACATTTAATAACCGGCGTAATGGCGGTGGATGTTGGCGGCGATCAAGGAGGCCGGAGAGAACATCGCGCAGCCACCTGGCGCTCGAATATCATAATAAAAATATATAACGTGTTGTCTCTCTCCCTCTCTCGCGCTGCCGGCGTTACAGTCGACTCCGGGTATAAATGCAATAAAGAGTGCCTCGTCCAATCCGCGTTGCACGCCGAATTTCGCCTGCGCGCTGCTACGAGTCCTACACTTTCGTCTGATCATTTTTATCACGATGAGCTGTTGACGGATTCTCGAATTTCGTGGTAAAAATTTTTGCATTAGAGCTTCCATTGAGGTTGCTGCTTTTAATTAAGGGGGCCATCAGTAATGAGCATTGATAATTTAAAGTCGTCTTTAACGTGTTTTCAAATCTCAATTTTTTCATCTATTAAACGACTTGCTTTTAGAATGTCACTTAAAAACGATCAAAAATAAAAACTTACTAAAAAATGACCAAAGTTGAGTTAATTTATAAGAGAGCCATCCACTTAAATTTTAATAGATATTACGCGGAATCAAATAATTCTCAAAATAAATTCCTTCGTTCTCATTTTTTTCATTAAACAAGACTTTGTATAAGCAGTGAGATGTCGTAGTACATAGCATTGAAATTTTTGAATGCGTAAAAATGAATATTAAAACTTACAGTACTTTAAGATGAAGAAAATGTCATACGTCTTTATTAGAACAATTTTTATACTACGATAGAGAAAACTTCTAATTTCTAAGGTTGAATACTGGCATATCAATTATAAATTAACTTCGTCTTTTTATAAATTTAATTGCATACTCGGTACTACATTTTAATCATTTGATACACGTCGTTTTGTTTTTCAATGATTTATTATGATAAAATACTACATTAATAAAAAAACAGTCACTAGATACCAATTATATTCATAGTCGGTGTCGAATTGAAAAAAAAAAGTTAAATTTCAATCTTAATTTTTTATTTATAACAATAATAAACAAAACTAAAACGATTTTAAATTAGTGATATATTAAGTTTAGTATCTAAAAGTAGGAAAATCACCTAGTTTGTAAATCTGAAAACAGCTGAGCGTGATCTGTAAAATATCTATTATTGGTAGTTCCGCATTATTGATATCGGTCAAGTTAATATTATTTCTTTCTTCCTTATCATGTACACATTCCCAGGGGTATATATATATATATATATATCACTCGAAATTTGCTCTCGCGAATTGCCAAGATGATATGATTCCACACCGATGTCACAATTATCTTGTAATTCTCCGCGATAATACGCAAAGCTTGGTAGCTTTGCAAAGTACGCGCAAAAGGAAAAAGAAAAAAAGCGACCGCACTCACTGTGCAAATGCGAGCATTATTCTTCGAGATTAAGAGGCGAAGTGTTTATGTGTACCGCATGAGCGAGAGTTGTGTGCAAAGGTGCATGTTTGCACTCTGGCGTCCGACTGGTAATAAGGCGTTAGGAATTTTATAAGCGAACCTGTCGCCGATCGTCAAACATGCGGGCGATGCGTCTCGCTTTGATGCAGTGCCTGTACGTATCAGTGCGCACAGTTGGTGCGTCGCCTTTACTTGTTCTCTCTAAGAATCTAGAAAATCCGACCAGCAACAATTTATGCGTGAATTTTCTCTATTGACTATTTGCAATTGAATCAGTGCCAGTTACAAATTCTGATTCGCTTTACAATGGATTTCCAATCGACTCATCGGTAAATCATAATATAATAAATCATTAATACGGCACTTGTAACACAAAAATTTGGCAACATTTTTTCACTTTTTCAGTGAGGAACGGAGATAAAATTGAATTTGCATAAAATAAAATTTTGACAAAGTGCCCAACTATGATTCACTCGTTGCGAAATTCAAATCATACCGAATGAAGATTCCGTAGATAGAAGTAAATAATAAATAAACAAAGATAGCTTATCAAGTATTGTTTGCTCAGTTACGGAGTATAATGTCGAGATATCGCATATTTTTCCGTGCATTTTACGAAAAGAAAAATATATAAATGGAGCTGTATAGAAGCTCTCTCGCATCAGCTTCAACAGAGTCTCACGTATCTTTTCCGCAAATAAGAAAAAGCGTCGATTAGTAAATAAAAACACCTGGTTTATCATAAAAGTGAAACAGCGTTTTTATTGTTTTCAAATAAAGATACAAAACGACACGTTTCACATTAGTTTATAAATTTGAATGATTCGAACACGAGACATGACAATTAAGCAACTACATTTCTGTCTCGTGCTTGTGCTGCATGACTCGTATGTACTTGTGTTGGGATCTGAAGCTTCTTTGTCAATGCGGAACAATCTCGAGTGAAAATTTTCCATTGTCCTATTGGAGTTAGCTGATGCTTATAGGTTTCCCGGCAGGCCAATTCTTGTACTGATAAGCGATCGACGACGATAGGAAATTTTGAACCATGATTCGTGCGTGTCTACAGCTATGACGTTCTATATTCACAAGTTGCTCACAGGAATTCTGCATCCTGCAAAAAACGAATAATGGACCATAACGTCATGGAACTAGACCGTTAAAATATATCCGACACGATAAAATGAGGCTGCTTATGAACTTACATATTTCATAAATGATAAAAAGATGTCGTATATCATCGTCATAAAGTTGATATACATGACGCGGTAGCGCATCGGCACCAGCAGAAAATTGACGAATTGCGTAGGTGGCCAGAACATACAATCCACCTGAAACAATCAGGATTCGGTCGTTAAAATTGATACTACACAACTACATTCTCCCGAAATTTTTTCCACGTTAAGATGAGATTGTTCGTAAAAAAAGATCTGACGTGTCGATAAGCCGCTCACTTGACTTTAAAAAGCTCTGATATAATCATTGAGTAATGTAATCTCGACAAGTCATTGTACAAGCTTACAACGCAATTCGAGTAAAGTAAAATGGTGAAAGTACAAGTAGACAGTGAGAGAGACGAACCTTCCAAGTGTCATACAGTTTGAGTTTGACCTCTCCATTGATATCTTGCAAATTCTTGTTTTCCATGACCCCCAGCCCAAAGAAGAAGATCCCAAGACACGTAGGACTGGCTATCGTTTGATCGAGTAAGGTCTTTTTGAAAATCGACGTGGTACTTCTGCCAGGCACGACCTTCTCCAAAACAGCGTAAAAGTAGTGATGGAATGGTCCCTGCAGCAAGCCTACAGCCGTCATATTTCTCGTGCGCGTGTAATCGTAACTGCCGGCCGTTTCGCTGGCTACTTCACTTTTCGATACTATTCTCACCAGACTCTCGTCTAGCGAGCCGTCGTCGCATTTCACCGACGAGCTCTGCTGCTCGTCGCTGATCGATTTCGCCAATGGTGGCTCGTTCGATGACGATTTGTTGATACGCCTCTTCAGGAAGTCACTATGTTGCTGCATCATGTCGCCAGCTGCCATCATCAGACCGCAGCTCACTGTGTTGGTGAGCAGCAGATATTTACCTAAGAGAAAAGCGCCAGGCGTTTTTACACTTTTAACCGGAAATTCTCCTTATTAACGCGACGTAAATAAACAGTTGACTTTGGTAGGTGCACGTGCCCGGCCTCGTCAGAATTACATCAAGCATAACTCCGCGCGGGCCAACGGTTTATTCATGAAAGAATACGACTAAATTTTTCGGAAATTGAAACTCAACGCAATTCAGTATTATTTGAAACGGGTATGGCAAAGTTTGTCCGTCAATACAGTTTATAAACGGAATCGCGTTAATGGATTTCGAAAACGATCGATTTTTATTGATCTAGTATTCAGACATTTAAGTGCAGAAGTGTAAGTAAAAGCATTTCTTTGATAAGCTAAGATTAGTTTATTCAACAAACGAATAAAGAAAAAAACTTGATAATTTGCACCTAATTCTAATGTCAACAGTCGTGTTGTACTGCCGTTCTCAGAGAAACTTAAAAGAAGAAAACAAATAAATATACTTTCAAAACGTATTCTAACACATTTTCGTTTTTAGAATCAAGATTTCAGAGCAGCGATAAGATAATATTCTCCGTTATTATAAAAGAATTTTTTTTACTTTGAACTGTTTTTAAAATCTTTATTTTTAACGATCTCAGTTTTCTTAGAAGGCAAGCGTACGACGAATATTTACTCAGTTTAGAGCACAAACAAAAATAGTACGAAATATAATAAACAACGATTCGCATATTGCTATTGTTTAAAATATTGAAGTTGAATAACGGTATAACGTAAGTAGCGTTCGAAAAGTAGTATTGCTGTTGATTAGGTCAGACAGCACGTACATTTTTCATATGAACTGAAACACTTGAAATGTTCAAATCTTATTAATGGGCTGAAATTGTTTTCTTTTTTGCAAGCGATTTGAATGAATCTAAAGCCTTTCGCTTTAGATTCATGATGTTCTCTCGACAACTTTCGCGTACATGGTTGCCTGCCAAATGTAATTTTAGTTTTTTATTAAATATATGATGGATATTGCGCAGTTTAGTACGTAGTCCGGAAATACAAATAAATAAATCGTTCAGTTTACGCTTAATTTCGCAGCAATTGTTATAAATTTGCTAAGCGCGAATCTGACGACGACACAAAAGCGTATGAAACAAACTTACCGAACATTTTGCTGAAAATGCTCATTCTCTCTCTCGAGCGTTCACGCGAGTTGTTGTGGTCCTTAAAGCGAAAGCTTTGCTTCCCAGCGACGTTCAAGTTTCGTCGAGTTGTAAGCTCAAGAGTGCCAAGGGCAAAGACTGGGATGGAAACCAGCAGAAATTACAAAAGACCAACAATCTTTTGAATTTCCGCTTTGCCAAACAGCTTTTGCCTATCCTCCCTGGCAGGGATTGATAAAGCGCTTGATCCTCTGGCGTTTGTGCAGCAAGAAAGTTGGCTGGCACGCAAGAGGCATAACTTTCCGCGTCGGAGCGAAAAAGTCGGGAGTGTGGCTCCTCCTTGGTTGGCCGTGTATCAACTGCCGTTTGCAATCAACGGCAGCGACCGAAAGAGTCCGTGGACCGTTGTACTTGTTCAGCAATGATTCTCGCACTGGCTTTTCCACACGCGCCTCGTGTCGTTTAAATATCTCGAGAGCAGCCCGCTTGAGTGGCGCCTGCGCGCGCGCGGTGCATTAACCGCGAGCAACTTGCACGAGACTATGCGCGTCGCGCGATCACTGCTGCCCTTATCGCGGTCGCGCGTACACACGTAGCGCGCTTCCTCTATCAATCGCGGGCGACTTGGCCAGTCGTTAAATTCTTCATTCTCGAGACTCTACTCATGAGTCTTGGCCATTGCTCTGTGATATGTACGACGCACAACTGATGCATACTTTATTTACTTGATTTCAGAAGAAAAATTAAGATTGATATTCATTGCGCTACTAGGAGGATCTAGATACATTTTTCATTTTTCGTTCGCTCCTTTTCTCATGTACATAATCCTTGATGCTTCTAATTCATCTTTGCTCCAAAAGAGAATTTTGAATAGGCTTATATTTTATGTCGGCTTTCTTTTTATAATAACCTTTTAGGCTACAATTTTTGAATATGCATAAGGTAACATTTTTTTTGCTATTCTGAAAATGATGATTAATGTAATGTGACTATATTTATTATTTTATAATCTTTTCTTATTGCAAACCACAATAAATTTTTGAAAAGTCTAAGCATACATTTTTGCACACTCACATTTAACAATAACAGTTTCATAAAAATGAATTTATGGTTTAAGCTAATCCATGAACACTAGAGACATTGCTTACATCTATGTGTAACCCCATCATCTATGTAAGCATTACGAAAGATGCTGATTTCAAAGTTAATGAAAACAATGATTACACATGTAATAAAAAAAATATAGTATAATAAATAAATTTTTATGCATGGAAATACTAAGATCTTCAAATGAAACTGAATTAATAAGATAAATCAATTTAAAATTTTTTTCATTGAAAATTCAAGTTCTTTATTGTACCCAGTCAGAATATATCTTAACATCTGCACAAGATTAAATTAATTTACTTGCAACACCCTTCGGTTTTGGCAAACCTTCTCTGAATCCATTCCTGAAAAAAACATACCAAATTAGAAATTGATGTTCAACATGAAAATCAAAGGTATGTATGATTATTAAATTAAAAAGTTGAGAAATTTTTAAACTTACTTGAACTTGCGGCGTATAATTTTGAGATGGCGCATACGCCCAGTACCAGTGGTCTTCCTCCTCTTAGCCTTAATGGACCAGTTGTCTATAAAACATTGAATCATCTATGTTAAGCAAAGGTAACTTTCACGTTTGTATCAACTTTGTATAATAAAAATCTTTTACTTAATCAATAGAATAGAAATAACTCTAAGTAACATAAGTAATGATTCAATGTAATAATAAAAATTAAAAGAGAACTAGTCAAAGCAAAGCAAAATAATAATAGATTACTTTTAGAGTTTTGGTCTAACCAAAAAAACTATGTGATATAACAAAATATACAAAATTATTGAATTTATATAAATGTCTTAGCCAAAATGTAATAAGATCAAAAGTCAAATTTTCTTGTTTTTAGCTAGTTATTACTTGAAACGTAAAGTTTGTACGTGGTATATCATGGCAAGTATAAGTACAGAAACTTTGTACTTTTGATTATTTCAAATAAAACTTTTACTCACATGAACGCATCTTCTTTGCAGGGTAGCCACATTGTGCACACTGTGACTTTTGAATGTGGTAGGAGCTACGGCCACACCGCCTACAAAGTGTGTGTGTCTTATTACGCCGCTTACCAAAACTTGAGGTACCCTTCGTCTACAATTTAAGATAACAGTTGATTACCAGTGATCAATATTAATTACACATGGGAAGTCCAATAAAAATTTGTAATGCTTTGCTAATACAATATTGTCAATAGGATGAGTCGAATAAAGTATTATTTTTCTCAGAACAAGTTCTAGAAACGTTGTTAATTGTGAAATTCTATAAATTTAACTAAAGATTTCTTAACACAAAATTAGTAAATTAGTTTTACAAAGAATTACATGATTATAACACCGTAAACAAACATTGACAATCTCTAACCTCAACTGAAATATAGATAATAACAAATCAATGACAAATAAACATTGCACTCTAAATAAGTGAAGTATGCAAGACAGTGCAACTTTTTCGAGCAATTGACAATATTGAATTATTAAACAAATTCAAGATTCCACTGAAATTATTAGATTTTATTGTCAAAAATGTATGCTCACCATCTTGTATGAAGAGTACTTAGAAAAAGAACCGATGAAATTGCGAACCAGAATCTGAGTTAAATTGGAAACAAGATGAACGTGAACTGGTATTTGGAAATGAGTCATTTGATGGAATTGTCAAATTTATCATTATTATATTGTAACAATGAATAATATTTATTCATTTTCATTATGTTTTAAAAACAAATTTTATTTTTGATACAATAATTATATTCTTACACAATTATATTCTTGTAAGTTGATTTAAAATTATATACAAGAACAATAGACCATATTCAGGGTTTTAATATTATCAAAATTACCTAATGTCCTATTTTTTATTAAATTTCCATTAGCCTATCAATATCAGTTAAGACTTCTTGAGTATAATGACCTAATGATACTATGTGTTGTGCTCCAACTATACAATCTTTTAACTCAGTATTTTCTTCAATAACACAACCATTGCATAATATGCAATTTTCAATTACACATCTGTAAAATAGAATATTTAATAACTAGCCATTTAAAAAGTAACATATCATTATAAATAATGATGTATTATGAAACTTACTTTTCTTTTATAGTTACATTATTCATAATAATACTTTTTGATATCCGAGTTTTTGGCTCAATGGTGACATTATTACTAACATAACTTTGTTTCAAAGAAGTTTTTTCACTAATAATTGCATTTTCATCAATTCTACAATTTTGAATTTGTGTGCTTTTCACTGTAGCATTTGGGGAGATACTTGAACCTTCTAAATCTCCTTCTGTTTTCAGTTCATACCAATCGTGCACCTGACAACATAATTGAAATATGTATTAGATATTAGGAATGAATAACATATAACAATATCACTTGTAAATAATCACCATTGCATTTGCTAAGCTGTATGTTTGTACTGTATTTGCTCGTAGACCATATTTTCCGTTGATAATGTGAGCATAACACCTAATAATATCATTATGATATGCATCATCCAAGTCTGTACTGTGATCATTAAAGGATGACATCTCTCTTATCAATTCATTTGCATTCTTTTCTGCAATCATAATTGGATTTTCTTCCACAAATCGGAAAATATCTTTTTTTATATCCATTTTAATAACAGAAGCATTTTTATCTTCTATAATAGTTTTAGGTTTGTTTAATTGTTTTTTAACAACATATGGTAGAACTTCTCCCTTTAATGAACTATGCTTCCTATAAAAAGTAAAATTTTTAAGAAGCTGTTCTTAAATATATAGTTCTACTTCTATAGTTATTATAATAATTGTAATAAAAAGTGCAAATACTTGTGATGAACTAGAAAATTGACAACCCACTTGTTGATTATGTACAAGTGGGCATCTAATAATTTGGAGTGAATTGTAAAATTTGAGTGTTTCCTTATTAATTTAGTTGACATTTTTAAAGATTCTTCAAAATCAGAAGCTGATGCTAAGAACACCATGCGACTAGTTTCATTATCAATTCCAATTAAATCACGTTCTTGTTTGTCTTTGCTTTTTGGTCCAGGTTGCATAAAATCTTCAGGTGGCTTAGGTGTTTGTAAAAACAATGCTGTAATACTTGCACTATTTTTTCTATACATTTTTATAGTGTCAGATATATCAATATTTGCAATAAGATCCGATGAAAGAACAACTAAATCTGAACTAATTTTGTCATGAATGAATCTAATGGAGTCTGCAGTACCAATGTCTTCTGCATCAGGTATTCCAATAACTTCTGGTTTGATAGATAAACCAAGCTTATCAAGTGTAGCACTAATATCTCCTTTAGCACTTTCAGATGTTATAATAATCGCATCTGTAAAACCTGATTGTTCCAACAACCTAAGAGGATACCATATCATTGGCATATTTGCTATTGGTAGTAAACATTTTGGCTTTCCAGCAGTCACATCAATCATACGAGAACCTTTTCCTCCAGCAAGAACAACTGCTTGAAACTCTGTACACTGAACCATGATTTTTCTACAAAATACATAAGTATAAAATATTTTATATTATCTTAAAAACGTTCATATTAAAGTTATTTATTTAAAATGTCAATTTTTAATTTACTGTATAACCTATGAACTAAATCGTTAACGCATATACATATAAAACAATTACTAAATAAACTAATAAAATAATTGTCCATGCTTACATTTTTACATAAATAAACTATTTTACTTCACGATAAAATTGGTTGAATTTCTATTTACATTTGCAATATAATACTTAAAAATAAATACTACTTTTTGTACCAGTAGTATAAACATATATGCATGAGTAAGAACAAATGTAACCTAAAATTTTGTTTCAAATAGACTATTCAAATAAAATTAGAATAAAATAAAAATATGATTGAATCTTGAATAATTGTGTTTAAAAGATCTTATTGCCTAGTCAAAAGCTTATAATAATTATTTAATGATAATATTAATCGTCTTTGGTAAGCATTTTTAAATCTTGCGTCATTCCTGTTGATAATAGACGCGCGCTTTATCAGAAATTTTGAATTTTTTTACATATCAAAGAACTTGCTATTGCGTAATTAATTAAAAAATATACTTTCAAGAGCTAATAAAAATATAATGATCGTATACAGAACAGGAACTATAATAAATAATTGGTATTGTTATTTTAAATATTTATTGCAAACTCTTAATAAGATGTTTAATTTGCCATTCATAATGTAGAAATAATTTGAATAATTTCTTCACTAATTTGGCACTTTTTTTGCTAATTTTTAAAATCTGCTTTTAGTTTTGCTTTACAGCTTATTTTCTCAGCCACGAGGATGGTACAACGGTATCATTTAAATTGATGCTAATTATACTTTTTATTTTATTGTTATATTAATGTTAATAACATCATTTACAATCTGACTAATAGGAAGTTAGTATTTGTTAGTTTGAACAGACGGTGGACTGTATATAGACTAATATATTACACCCTCTTACACACACACACACACACACACACACACAGAGCCAGGCAGGCAAACAGAGTTTTATACTCTACAGTCGAAACTGTCGAGAAACAGAAAAACAGAATACCGTATATAGTTTATAAGTATTATGATGGTAAATGAAACTTATTTACATTTGAGTTGAACAGTATTCATCTATTTTCTGCAAGAAAGCATTCACTATTTTTTAGGTAGTTGATCATTACAATCAGTAGTAAGTGTTTACAACAAATTTTATATGATTTATTTTCAATGTAATCATTATTTTCGTATTTACATTCCTTGACAAATCTAATTAACCTTGATTTTTTATATATTTGTTTACTTATGAAAGATATATAAAATACTTCTTCAATATAAAACTTTAAAAAATCATTGAAAATGATAATGCTTTCTTAACAATCATTCTAAAGTAAGATAATATAATTATTTATCAAGTTCTAATTTATACAGAATAAACAATTGTTATTTTTTTCATGTAGTTAACAGAAATTTATCAAGAAATACTTTCAGACAAAAAGAGAAAATTAGAAATAATAATATCTCAATGTGACCAATAATCTTTAATTCTTACCAAGGAATTCAGGTAATGTTTAGCATACTTATTTATTAGTTCTTCAGTTCGTTTTAAAACAAATTAAAGAAACTATTAAATTGTTCTTGTAATTTTATTTGAAATTTTTCCCATGTAGGTGAAATGCCTATCTGTTGCGTGCCAAATTGTAATAATTCAACTGAAAGTGGATTTTTATTACGGTGCTTTCCTAGAAATAATAGCTTACGTGCTGAGTGGGCTAGAAATATAAATAAATCTGGTTGGATACCAAATCATTGTCACAGAATATGTGAGGTAAAAAATTTTGTTTTCAATATATTTTTTAAATATAAGAAGTAAATAAATACATTGAATTTGTTAAAGGTTCATTTTGAACCAAATATGTGGGAAAAAACTAGGGTAGATGGTACTAGAAAATTGAAACATAAAGCAGTACCAACAATCTTCAATGATCACATTATTGAGGAAGCATCTCCAACTACTATTATAGTTTGTACTTTTCAAACCACATTTATAATGTATTTACTTAAATTTTTATTCATATACTCATGTGATTCTAGATTCCACCAGTAGAAGATAATAAAACTGAAGTTGAAGTAAATGAAAAACCTATTATTAAAATTTTACCTCCAGCTAATTCGAAAAATACTAAACCTATTATTCTACCTGCCTCAATTTTTGAAAACCAATCAAACCCTCCAAGTACCATAATTGTGAATACTGAAGGTAAAATTATCAACACACAGCCAGTGCCTTCAGTACCTAAACGGGCAAGCATTTTAAAATCACAAATTAAATCAGTTACTGCACCATCAGCTTCAGTGGTAATAGCTACTAATGCTAGTAGTAGCATACTTAAAAGTCAAATACAAAATGCAAGTAATCAATCTCCAATAGTCATTCCAGCTAATGGTAGTATTCTTAAACCACAGTTTCAAATAACAGCTCAACAAATTTCTACTCAACTGCCAAATATTATTCACAGTAAAAACACAAATAATCAAAGTATTTTAATTCCTTTAAATAGTTCTGCTCAGGAATTATCTAACAACACTTCAAATGTTCAACTTATATCAAGTACAGTATCTAGTGCAACTGTTCTAGATACAAATATCAAAGATGATTTAGAAGAAATGTTTGAAGAATATAACGACAATAATGTAAATACAGTTCCAGCGAATACTAGTTTGAGTCAAGCTAAAATGAAAAAAATAGCAGATGAACGGTTTGAGAAAATGGATAAACTGTTACTGAAGCAATTGAAGCTAAATAACGCTTTAAGAAAAAAATTGCATGCAGTGAATCATCAGTTACACCAACAAACAAAAGTAAAAGATAATGACTTTAAAGAATATCTGAAAGATCTATTTACAGATGATCAAATAAGAGCTATTGAACTGAGACATACTAATCCAAGGTCTATTACAGCTTGGTCTCACAAAACTATGATTAAAGCTCTTAAGTTAAAAGAATGTTGTGGAACTCGAGGATATGAAGAATTACTCAAACAGAATATGCCTTTACCTTCAATTCGAACAATTTCAAGATGGTGTACTCAAAGGAACTTGCCTATACCATAAAGTTTTTAAGTGAAATAATACTGCATTTGAATGCTAAAGCGACATTTTACAAAAAGCAGTGTTTAATAAAATAGTGTTCAGAAAATTTGGTTTATTACCAATGTTGTGATAAAGTACACCATATGTTTATAGTATATTATTTTCATATCATAATTAAGTCAACAATTAAAATTGTTGATTTGTGTGACAAAATTAACTTTACTCACAACTAGCAATGTATGCAAATTTGGTTTGCTTAAATGAGATGTTTTAAAATAATCAAATTAATTAACTGTAAACAATTTTAATATATTGTCGAAAAATTTAATTTATCTAAATAGAATTAGTAAATAATAACGATTATTAGAAGTCAATCAAATTAAGTTGTTCTTTAGTTTTAAAATAAAGACTGCACAAATGAAGTCTTTCATTGTTATTGCATTTGGACAAATGCAATTATAGTGTCTACGCTCAGTTTCATATTTATACAAAATAAATTTTTATAAAGCATTTTATAACAAAATTATGATGAAATTCCAGAAATAAATTCTATCAAAAAATCATATCTACTGTTTAAAACTATGAAAGTGAAAAGTAATTTTGAATCCACCGACAATCCACCGAATATATATATAGCCCCTTGCTAGATCTTGTTCTCTATATACTCTATACATATTGTATTATATCGCTGACCGCATGGTCGTTCCGTATTAGTACATTACGATACAAGTGCGGGAAAGTAGACTCTTGTCTTGTGTAGCGATTACGCCCGAGCGAAGCGAGGGTGGAAAGGTACACGCGACGAGAAACTCTTTTCTGAACATGTGCCGTACCGTATTTTTTGATACGATGTGTGGAAAGTACGATTTTCAACGCACGTTTTTTGCCGAGCGTGCGGGAACAACGCACTTTCCGCACGGAGTCTCGAAAAATATAATAAGATTAAAAGTCAAATTTTCTTGCTTTTGGCTAGTTATTACTTGAAACGTAAAGTTTGTATGTGGTATAACATGGCAAGTGCAAGTATAGAAATTTTGTACTTCTAATTATTTTAAATAAAACTCTGTTACTCACAGGAACATAAATTCTTTTCAGGGTAGCCACATTGTACGATCACTGCTACCCTTATCGCGGTCGCGCGTATAACGTAGCGCGCTTCCTCATATTAATCGCCCGCAACTTGGCCAGTGGTTAAGTTCTTCATTTTCGAGACTCTACTCATGAGTCTTGGTCATTGCTCTGTGATATGTACGACATACAACAGATCATTACTTTACTTGATTTCAAAAGAAAATTTGAGATCGATGTTCGTTGCACTACAAGGAGGACCTAGATACATTTTTCATTTTTCGTTCGCTACTTTTCTCATGTACATATTCCTTGATACTTCTGATTTATCTTTGCTCCAAAAAAAAGGATTTTGAATAGGCTTATTTTTTATGTTGGCTTTCTTTTTATACTAACCTGTTAGGCTACAAGTTTTGCATATGTATAAGGTAACATTTTTTTTGCTATTCTGAAAATGGTCATTATTGTAATGTCACTATATTGATTGTTCTTTAGTCTTTTGTTATTGCAAGCCATGATAAATTTTTGAAACGTCTGAACATATATTTTTGCACGCTTACATTGAACAATAAAAGTTTTATAAGAATGACGTTACAATCTAAGTTAATCCATAGACTCTAGAGACATTGCTTACATCTATATGTAATTTTACCTAGTATCTATGTAAGCATTACAAAAGATGCTGATTTCAAAGTTAATGAAAACAATGATTACACATGTAATAAAAAAAATATAGTATAGTAAATAGATTTTTATGCATGGAAATACTAAGATCTTCAAATGAAACTGAATTAATAAGATAAATCAATTAAAATTTTTTTCATTGAAATTTCGAGTTCTTTATTGTACCCAGTTAAAATATATCTTAACATCTGCACAAGATTAAATTAATTACTTGTAACACCCTTCGGTTTTGGCAAACCTTCTCTAAAACCGTTCCTGAAAAAAACATACCAAATTAGAAATGGATGTTCAACATGAAAATCAAAGGTAAGTATGATTATTAAATTGAAAAGTTGAGAAATTTGAAACTTACTTGAACTTGCGGCGTATAATTTTGAGATGGCGCATACGCCCAGTACCGGTGGTCTTCCTCCTCTTAGCCTTAATGGACCAGTTGTCTATAAAACATTGAATCATCTATGTTAAGCAAAGGTAACTTTCACGTTTGTATCAACTTTGTATAATAAAAATCTTTTACTTAATCAATAGAATAGAAATAACTCTAAGTAACATAAGTAATGATTCAATGTAATAATAAAAATTAAAACAGAACTAGTCAAAGCAAAGCAAAATAATAATAGATTACTTTTAGAGTTTTGGTCTAACCAAAAAAACTATGTGATATAACAAAATATACAAAATTATTGAATTTATATAAATGTCTTTGCCGAAATATAATAAGATCAAAAGTCAAATTTTCTTGTTTTTAGCTAGTTATTACTTGAAACGTAAAGTTTGTACGTGGTATATCATGGCAAGTATAAGTACAGAAACTTTGTACTTTTGATTATTTCAAATAAAACTTTTACTCACATGAACGCATCTTCTTTGCAGGGTAGCCACATTGTGCACACTGTGACTTTTGAATGTGGTAGGAGCTACGGCCACACCGCCTACAAAGCGTGTGTGTCTTATTACGCCGCTTACCAAAACTTGAGGTACCCTTCGTCTACAATTTAAGATAACAGTTGTTGATTACCAGTGATCAATATTAATTACACATGGGAAGTCCAATAAAAATTTGTAATGCTCTGCTAATACAATATTGTCAATAGGATGAATCGAATAAAATATTATTTTTCTCAGAACTTGTTTTGAGAACGTTGTTAATTGTGAAATTCTATTAATTTAACTAAAAATTTTTAACACAAAATTAGTAAGTTAATTTTACAGCGTATTACATAATTATAAAATCGCAAATAAACATTGACAACTTCTAACCTTAATTGAAATATAGATAATAACAAATCAATGACAAATAGACATTGCACTCTAAATAAGTGAAGTATGCAAGACAGTGCAACTTTTTCGAGCAATTGACAATATTGAATTATTAAACAAATTCAAGATTCCACTGAAATTATTAGATTTTATTGTCAAAAACCGATGCTCACCATCTTATATAGAAAAGTACCTAGTAAAAGAACTAAAGAATCGAATGAATCGCGATTCGTGAACCATAAACTATACTATATCCAAGGTTAAATTGGAAACAAGATGAACGTGAACTGGTATTTGGAAATATGTCATTTGGCGGAATTTTCAAATTTCTCATTGTTATAGCAATAAGTAATATTTATTCGTTTCCATTATTTGTTAAAAAAATACTTTATTTTTGATACAATAATCATATTTTTCCACAAAATACTCTTACAATAAGATAAAAAGTTATATACAAGAATAATAATTATACGTATAAATTCTTACATAAGTTCTTTCGTATGAAATTACTTGATATTTTCAAGAGGGTACATCACACACATGCCTATATGTATACACTTGCATATACCGACTATTTAAGCCATGGAGGCCATGGAGCCTTTTGTTTTGTTATTTTGTTTTAATTGTTTTCATCATAGATATATACGTATTGTGTGTATGTGTGTATAACCGAATCTAGAAAGAATACTTAATGCAATAACATTTTTTAGTTTTTTATATAAATCAAGTTAATCATAATCATGATTGAATATAAATCGTACATTTGTAAGTTTATTTTTAACTAAATTTAAGAAGACGATCAACGATCAATTAGAGAATGCAAGAGAAAAAGTCGATGAGGGCGAAAAATTGAATTATGTTGAGGACATTTCAGACACTTATATTAGCCCGCTCGGTTTATTTAAAAGCTTATTATGGATTCAACCTAAAATCATTTGCTCGGGGTAATATTGCTATAATGCTTAACCGTCACGAGCTTACCGATGTATATTTTGAGCGTATTGGCTACAAAAACAACTATTGAACAAGCACAAAAAATTTAATTTCATTTTATTTGCCTCTGCTTCACATCCTTAATTTGTAACAATAAATGTTCATTTTTATGAGCATGATTTTCAAATGAATTAACTTGGCGCGCCAAAAGTAGAGATGAGCATTAGAAAGAAACAGCATATCTCACTCTAATCGTTATCTCTTTTTAACCAAAGCAGACTGAGGGTCTATACTTTATATGCTAAGTATAATCCACGATAACGTGTCACATATACACAAACACAGTTGAAACTCGATTTATCAATAGGCCGTATTAGAGAGCGCGCGAGTGAGACGGAGCGAGAGCAGGTATAGAGAAGGAGAGCAGATAGAAATCATTGGTAGTATGCCCGCGTATCTCGGGTGGCATTGCTAGTGCTTCGTGCGCGTGAGCCGACGACGACAACGATAACGACGATCATTCAAACAGAGCAAGACAAGTGCAGGTCTCGAGGATGTACCGTGACGCCGGTAACAACCTCATCGACGAGGACGAGGAACCGCCTCAAGGTCGCCGCCGCTGCTAGTACTGACCCTAGTGCGCCGGCGACCACCTAACAGTCATGGCAATCTCGAACTGGATGGTTTGGAATCGCAGCCTTCGCTCGGGAAGGACACACCGAAGTACGCCTACCCCTTGTCTAGCTCTACACATTTTAGTTGGGCATGGACACTTACTGTAATGCTCTGATGTTTCTTTGATTACAGGTAGACACGCTCGCGAGGAAAACTGCGTGGAGCTTAACTTGTCAAAAGGTTAGAATCCTAACCTGAACACTCGCCGCTATTTCAATCTCACAGTCATTCTTTGGCTTACTTTTGGTTTATAAATGTTTTTCATCTAGCCAACTGCTTCAATAACTGCCTTATTTACGATCTTCCGCGCTAATTTTTAATCGAGTCGATAGAATTTTATGACTCGGTATCGGATGTTTTCATGATGTTTTGTAGAGCTTTCTTATATTTTTATCTTTATTAACTGTCAACAATTATTGATTTTTGTGAGATCAATCGTTTCAATATCAACTTGTTTGTTCAGAAACTATCATTTGAAAATAACCGATATGTTACAATGGATAAATGTCAATGCTCCAATTTTAACAAATCTTATTCTTTTATCTCTAGGTCTCAAAGAAAACATCACAGAGACATTGATAAATGTATGTCAACCAAATGGTGTATCAGGCAAGAAAAAATTGGCTTATTTGAATGCTCTTGTGAATCTTGTCATTGAAAATGATGCTCTTGAATATGGATACAGTGCAGAGGAAATATTTTGTTGGTATGTATTTTATTAATATATAAATTATAACTAGATTTAAAGAAGACTATATATTTTTGTATATATTTTAGTCTACGAATGGGGCTGGTTCAAGAAGCGACACAAGTCAGAGCAGCAGCCCTCCGTGCTATTCGATACATGCTTAAAAAGGAGCAGGATGTTATTACCATCAACAGATTGCAGTATCCTTACTTCATCGCTCGCAGTATGGACATCAATGTACGCAATGAAGTGGAAAGGATACAAGCTCTAAGACTTGTTAGAAAAATTTTAGTATTAGCTCCAAAGTACTTCAGTCCTGCATTAGCTCGATCCATTATTAGCATCACTAATGGAGGTATTTGTTACTTGCAATTTCGAGTTTGAATTTTGAAATCGTAGTCCTAAATTATTTACAGAAGTTTCACTGATTTAGGTATGGAAGAAAAAGATCGAGCGTTTCGTGTGTTTCTGGCTGTGCTATGTGAACTAGGCGTGCTGAACTCGAGCCTACTCGTAAGTTGTGGTGGTGTAGGTGCCTTAGCTCGAGCCACGACTACCGGTCAAAGTCCCATCATCACCGAAGCGATTGTGGGCGTTTTATTACGATTGCTGTCGAATCCGGAAACACGAAGTAACGTATCATTGCTGTGCCTCGCCGCGCCTTACACCGAGCTCGAGTCAATAGGCTTCGAGCGATCCAAGGAAGACTGGGATCAGAAATTTGCTGCTAGCAAGCATGCACTCATCAGCGTGCTCAGGTCTTATGCTGGGGTTATACATTTTTGCCACCCCAACGAGAGTTCTGGTATCAAAGCTATGTCAGATATTTTGTATGTCGAGAAATTAGGGGTATGTATTTGTTAGATTGCACAAATTGACGCTGATTAATTGTGAAAATCTGTTATTGCAGCTAAGAGGAGCTATTTTAGAACTTTTTTACGAACTACTCGGACTGCCTTTGCCAACGTGGACTGATGAGCCTGACGTGGCTCTTGCGGCGGTCGATCCGAAACGTTTCCGAAATTCCTGGAAGTTATCGGAAGGATTCGTTGCTGCCGAGGGCAGGACTATTTTGCCTTCCTTAAAATCTCATTGTCCCAATATTATGGAATTACATTTGGCTTTATTGGTATACATTTTACTTGAGTGCGGACTGCATAGAGCTCTGGCGGAGACTATCATCACGTCGGATACTTTTATTTCCGTAAGAGCTGCGGTGCTTCTCGGTGCATTATTGCATTTAGCACATGCTCTACTTCCTTCCGAGGTAGGAAATACTTATTATTCGACTGTAAAATTTTATTTTTAACATTGGTTTACAAAATTTAAAAGGTTTGCGATCAAACTCCACCGCTGCCCAAACTATTAGAGCTTGCAAGTGCTGGTCAGCACCAAGCACTTGCGGCAGTAGCTATACTTAGTCGGATGCATGCGATGATGTGTCGTCGACCAACACCATCTAGTTTATTCATGGATCGACTATTACAATCAGGAGCTTGGCTAAGACCAACCTCATCGCAAGGTCTTAGACGGCAACCCTCGTTCCGACAGTGGTTGAAAAGAGAATCACCCCTATCGCAATTAATTAAAGACTCGTTAGTGCTCAGTTCCAAAGATGCTCTTGCCTGGAATTGGTCAGTTATTAGATCCGTACTCAGGACAAGAAATGTCGATATGAGATTATCTACAGATACTGAGTATCGTTCATTTATCAAAAGGCTCATCAAGTAAGAATGATTGCTTTTTTACCGTAAGTTTAGTAAAAAATTAAAGTTTATTAAATTTGAAAAATTCTTGCATTTGCAACAGATATTATAAACCATCTTCGAATCAATTCAGTCGTATGGAACTAGCAACCCACTCTCGAATGGCTCGAGATACGACATTAGCTGGTTGTGATCTAATTAATTTTTTACTTGAGATTGAAGAAGCCGAGGGCACAAAGTTTTTGAACGAGTTATTTAGTGATGTAGCCGAACAAATAATCGCAATCCGCATCGCATCGTCTGCTCACGATGTACTATTCTCGCCTCGGCACGTATCGACCACCTGCTGTCAGAAGTATTTTCTATTCATCGGCCAGTTAAGTCACTCGATGCGCGGTGGCGTTATACTTCGTGGATTTAATTTACTCGAAAAGTTCCAAGATCTTGCCGTCACTACTAAGCACGATTGCTACGTCAAACTTGTTATCTCGAGTCTGGATTACTCGAGAGAAGGTCCAAACCGTAGGGTGGTCACGAAAATCGTGCAAGACGCGCAACTTGAGAGTACGAGAATGTATGCTACGCAATTCTTGAGAGTCGTATTGAGAGCGAAAATGGCTGATGCTCGATTTTGGGCGCTTGGGTTACTCTTAAATAGATTGTGCGATAAGAGCAAAATTGTCGCGATGGCCGCGCTTGACGCGCTTCATGAAGCCTGTGAAGAGCCGGAATATCTTGAAATCATTCTTCAAAAGTCCGAGGTAATTTGTCAATTTTTTCATAACACAAATGTGTTTGTATATTTCATGCGTGTCGTGATTACGCAAAGTGAAATCGAAAAATGTGTTAAATGTCGTTTCCGTTTCTACAAAACTTTCTAGCGAATCGTGATATTTTTTTTCTTTTTGTCACGCTACCAACACTACATGTCAGATTGATTGACATCTAATGGGTCACGTTATTTCAGTGATTTGTATCATATTGTGTATAATGTACAATGACATTGTATAGTAATACTCAAAAATTTAGAAAAAGAATGCATACCGAAATAATTTTACGAAAAATAATTCTTAATTACTAAATTTTGAAAAATAAAATTAATGTTTTTTAACAGGAAAAGATCATTCAGAATTGGGAGCAGTGGTTACAGAATCTCGGCGATAATGGTCATTTGCTGAAAATTCGTCTATACTCGATACGTTCTGCCTTTACATCTCTACCGTCACCAGCGGAAGAACTGGAAAAGTGGATAAAACCAGGAGGGTTAGCAGAACGATATACAGGTCTCGTGGAATGCGACATCCACGATTCGATGACTCGACGACAACGTGGTGAGAATGGCTGCTATTTACGCCGTAGCAACGGAAATCCTATTCTTCCTAAAGATGTGTTTGTGCCTCCACACTTCATTGGCCAAGTAGTACAGCATGAGTTTGGTATACAGTTGTTACTCAGGAGGAACGTATTTCAAAGATTTGCCCGAATAGTGCAACGATTTAGATTGGAGTATTGCAGTAACTCGGGGCAGAATAAAGACGGTAGAAGTTCGAAGGAAGAAAACAGGAACGATGACAAAAAGAATGAAGAGAGTACAAGACTGGAGACTATCGTGGATGCTGAGGTTACGGATCGATCGGAAATTCGTACGCCTCCTAAGACTGAGACCATCGTCGAGATCAGAAGAAAGCTTAGTCAGGACGACTCGAGGAGGACCACGCCGGAAAGAAGCTGGAGAGGGGAACTTGACTCACGTGATGAACATGCATCCGATTTAGAAGGTACATAACAATAGTCATTTAAATATACAGTCGTTTGAACATCATTACACCTGATATTACATATTTTAACATAAATTCTACTTTGTTTATTGTCTACGAGATATTGAATAGTTTAATAATGAAATTTATTTTTACAGCCCGAATATTTAAAGTGAAATCAGCCTTATGGGCTCTGGGTCACGCAGGAACGTCGTCTCTTGGAGTTGAGCAGCTGTGTAATTACGGTATCATTGAGATGATAACATCCATGGCTGAAACTTGTCCATATTATTCAGTCCGCGCCACGGCAATGTACGCTTTGAGTTTGATTAGTACAACCCGGACAGGAGCCGACGTTCTGATAACGCACAACTGGGCATGTGTGCGTTACAAACGAGGTGAGCATTGGCCGGTGATCGAACCCTTAAGGATGAGTGTATCTCAGCAGTCGCCAAGTCCTGTTCTCATACAGCGACATCACAGAAGTCTCAGTGATGGCAAACCCGACTTTCCCGAAGCTTTAGTCAAAAGGCAAAGAAATAGATCGGAAAGTGCCGCAACGGAGATGGATGCCAAACGATTTATACTGCCAGAAAGGGGTGAAACACCAAGTCCCATGTCTAGTATTCATAGGCTAAGTCAACAGGATGCTGAAGGGTACGCTAAACTGAGAAGTCTTCAGCGATATCGCAGACCGAGTTTTTCGCATAGCAGTCTTGAAGTAAGTATATGATTTTAATTGTGTCAGCGACTTTGTCAATTTGCAATTCAGTGATGTTATATATTTCATTTTTTTTTTTAATTTTCCTGGCAGATGTACAGTTTAGATGGACGGCTATCTCTCCAAAGTCTATCAGAGTTCGAATCCTCGCGGAGTTGGATCGGGGAAGCAGGTCTGGTACCAACTCCTCCGCCAGCGCGAGGGACATCATCGACGTCATCGCAAGACATCACAGATTCTAATGCGCGTTACATGGGTATCAGTTTACCAAAGAAACTTAGTGCGATATTTCCTGAGACTACGCCGTCAAGCGCACTTTTGGACAAAGTAAATAAGTCGAGATCGAGTTGTGAGTCAAGAAGATATCAGGTACGATCATTAAAGTTCTGTAGATAGCTAATATCAAGCGGTTTTAATAACAATATATTTATCCAGAATGCAAGTATCAGCGAATCATCAGTTTTACAAGATGACATTAGATCAATAAGGTTTCTACGAGCCGAGAGACAAACACATCAGAGTCAGAATGAAAGCGATTCCGAATGTCTTTCACCAATCCCTACGATAGTTCTGGAAGATCGTGTAAAATCGAGTGCTGGCATGGGATCGAACAGTAAATTAAGTATTAATGAGAGCGACTCAGAGTGTGCTGGACCATCTGGCATAAACCGTCTAGTATTGCCAGAAGATAGGCCAAAGCAGAGAACAATATCGACATCAAGGCAATACGCAAGTGATATCGATGAAGAATCGAGTTCTGAATACGAGACGTCAAATGATCATACTCGGCTGTGTCTTATTTGTTTCCGCGAGAAAAGTGTTTCCAATGATTCGGTTGCGAGCGACGTCGATTTTCGTCGTTCTATCGATAAAACTCGAAGGTACTTTTCAAATTTTTAAATCTTAAAAAAGTCGGTGATGAATTAACTTTCTTTTCGACACTCCGTGCGGAAAGTGCGTTTTTTCCGCACTCTTAGCAAAAAACGTGCGTTGAAAATCGCACTTTCCACGCGTTGTATCAAAAAATACGGTACGGCATATGTTCGGGAAAGAGTTTCTCGTCTCGTGTACCTTTCTACCCACGCTTCGCTCGGGCATAAACGCCACACGAGACAAGAATCTATTTTCCCGCACTTGTATCGTAATGTACTATTCTTTTTGTTGTAGGGAAGTCTTGAGGTATGCACAGCGTTTAGCGAATCCAGTTTTATACAAGCAAAGTCGACAGACATTACTTAGATTAAGACAACAATATCCTCATATTTTTCAGGTATAACGAACTTGAATTTTAAAAATGAAATGGATTTTTATAGTAATTTTTATATGTTTTAGGATGTATGTATATATTCTGAGATAGCCGCACGTTTAGCGAATAATACCTACAGAATTCAAGCAAGACGATTTTTGCAAGAATTATTCTTAGATTCTCCTTTTGAAGCAGTAAGTTTACTGAAACAATGGATTAACTAAATGCTAAGTTGATTTGATTTAAAAAACATTGATTTGATTTGTTTGCAGCTTCTGGAGGAACCGAAAGCAATTCTTAAAATGACTGTGAAAGCACCTACGGATAAGTCCGAGGACACAGAATCATCATATGTTCCTATACTACAGGCAGCGGTTGTCATTAGCCCGTCGCACAAGTCGTCAAAGGCACCGGAGACTAAAGTGAACGGAAGACTGGCGGTGGCTTCGGATCAGCAACCCGATCAATTATCAATAGTCAATGAGGAGAACGCGATGACGATCATAACAACCGAGCCGACGATTGTCAATTTGCAAAAGTCGAGTGGCGGTGGTGGCGTCGGCGATGGCAGTAGTGAAAGTACCATTCGCTCGTTGATATCAGAGCCGCGGTGTAGCGACGAGAAAATCATTGCCGAAATTCTCAGACCCGAGGAACGGACACAAGCGTCAAAGACCTCCGAGAGAATATTAAAAGCGACGAGCATCAACACTGCCATTAGCCTTGACTAGTTACTTCTTTTGAATTTTTAACAATTGTGTAAATATTTTATAAATATTCGCAGAGTAGGGACAATGTAATTGTAAAATAAATTGAAAAAAAATCACTGCCGTAATATTGTTTTTCTATGTATAATCGGTCTGCCAGCATCAATTTGATTTTTCTCTTCCGTCTTTTTTCTCTTTTTTTTGTTATTGAAATTATTGCACTAGCTAGGTATTTGTACATATATTGGCATTAATGAATTAAATAATTGAAAATATAGTATTTAAAATAAAAATCTATTTATAATTTACATTTTATCGTTTTATTTTGTTTGTACTTTTTATTTCTTGTTTTTCACATTTTTAGATATCAGACCAATTCAAAAACTAAAAGTCATACATAAACATTTCTTGTTATCCATATGTTTATCTGACAAAAATCTTTGTAAGTTTTCGAAAAAGATAAGATACAAAATGTGTTCACGTGAGTAATGGAATATGCCCGATTACTACAGTAAAGTCAGCTGATGGTTGTCGCTACGTGAAACAGGCAGAGAAATCTGTACACAGTATGTAGTATACATTTCCTTTAGATAGACTCTGGATACGTATATAGTGTAAAAGAAAAAAGTTATTTCCAATTGAGGACAACAGTGTGCTTACGATAATATGTTTTTTGAAACATTTTTATAATGTTATAATATTTACCATTTTTAATATTACTAATATTATATTTGATTTTATTTGATATCTGCAGGATGAGTTTATCTCATAAAAACTGATCGTTTACTCTAGTAACTTTGTAGTAAAAATAGTAAATACTAATTTAATATGTTGTTTTATTTGTAAATAACAAATATTTATTCAAAAATTTCTATTAATTATAATAATAATTTAAGCCTTAAGAAATATTCAGTTGTGAACGAGTCGCCATTATTTCCACGAAATTATATATATCAGCAAAACAAGATTAAACTGGAAAGCTTGCAGATTTTTCATAGTTCGAATAACAGATGTTACTGATTACAAATGATGCAGAATAAAAACAGAATTATACATGCAACTCTCATGACTGTAAATTTGTCTGCATTTAACAGAGTTCCTTGCCGAAGCTGAATACCTCTCGCTGGATCCGTACATGCGCAAAGTCTGTGAGATTTCCTTTGAGTTCCTTATGGTAAGCACACAAGTGGCAAAGACTGTCCAATCAAAACGTACAAATTATCCAGTGGGCAAACGTATAGTCGGGTACGCGGGCAGGAGAACTTATATTATCATGCATCCCGACAGATTAGATATTCTTTCGGTGGTGGGACGCGAACCTTATCTCTTGCCAGATTATCCAGATTTACCAAGCTCTGTAGCCCTGAGCATCTTGGGACAGCCTAGGTAATTTATAGAACGCGTAAATTTTTCAGATATGCTGCACTGAGTGTTAGATAATTGTCGACTGATTAATTGCCAGATTAATAGCGTACTTCAGTTTCATGGAATTTTGCAAGCCCGGAAAAGGTGAGCGGTTATTTTAGGGCAGTTGACTCGATTGTCGGACAAATAGGCAAACTTTTAGGACTTAAAATCATTGGTATAGCTGGTGCCGACCGCATTAATTACAAAACCGACATAATTGCAGATACACTCAAGGGATATGCCGAGAAAGGAGTTGACTGTTGCTTTGACAATGTAATCGAATTTTTATTATTAATATACTTAGCTGGCAATGTATAAAAGAAAATTGGATAGACTGTTTGCTGCATAACATCAGTTTCAATGACAATAACTTCAATTGGGAAGCGGCTTTAATCAACATATTTTAATGAATAGGTGGGCGATGAAATCTTTAGCACAGTTATCTATCAAATGAACAAATTCGGCCGAATCGCAGTACGTGGAAGCGTATCCTCGTACAACAGTGATCCTACAGATCTACCTAAATATACTCACGTTCAATTGCCGATCGTAAACAAGTAACTTTCAACGCACGTTGTTGGCTGAGCGTGCGGAAAATACGTGCTTTACGCACGGAGTGTAGGAAAAGCTGTCGTCAAAGTTTGACATTGCAACTATGCAATGCTTTTATGTAAATCAAATACTGTCGTTGCTTGTTATAATACACATTTTTTACTCATATTGTAGTATTGTAGAAAACTTAATTTACGTATATATATCTTTCTAAAAAGTATTTGCAATATATTGTTGTCAAAACAACTTTTAATATATATTCTCCATTTATAAGATGCATTTGCATTATACACTTATATTCAAAATAATAACTGGGTTGGGTCTATGATAAAATTGAAACGAGCAAATTAAATATCTTACTTTCCCCGTGTAAGATATTTAATTAGATAACCGATAATTTATATCGTCATATCAAAATATTTGGATAAGTTCTCATTTTTTAAATATTGACATAAGAGAAATGCATGTACTTTGGATAAACATTTAACAGAGTCTCTTGGAAATTGTTGAAATGTACTTAGACCGCATGGTTTCGATATAACAAATCACATAATTAATTATTATTACACTTAACTACGCAGCGCGAAAACATTTCAGAAGTTATAGTATGGTATAAATAAGATTTCCATTAATTGGTGAAACATACGGATCTTTACAAAACCAATTACGTCTTTTCTCAGTGAATGCGGTACATGCACATTATATAGCTGCTAATTATTCTTGTGTGGTATAGTATATTGCGGGTGTATAGTGTATATAAGCTTTCACGAAATTTTTAAATTTAAAACAATGATGTACTCGTGAAATGAATAGGTTCTCCAAATAGTATGAAAATATATGAACTTGATAGTTTTTTGCAATAGCAATGTCGGAAAAAAGATTTGAACGTGCATAGACAAGTAATAATTGATAATTAGCAAAGATAATAACGTGACACCAGTATTTTCGAGAAATTATCTGAAGTCACGGTGAGCTGCACCTCTTGTTTACAATGTCATTGCTTCACCACTACCGTTAGCACTCCTTGCGATAACTACTGCCTCTCTCGGATGTGGCGTGCAGTTATGTGTACACATATACTTTTCGTGCACGATCGTGTGTATAAATGTGCGCTGTGTGCGTTGAATGAACGCGCGATCTAGCGGAGAAATCTACCGGCGAACTCTCCTCACAGTTCACGCAACCGTTTATTGCCGGCTCCATTATATTTATATATGTACGTGACATTCGGGACGAACGTCGGTTTATCCGGACAACAAGTGGCCAAATCGAGTTACTAAGCCGGTTAGATCTTCACTTATCTATATTTCGTATTTAGCTCTTGATATCTACATTTTTCTATTTCGTTAATTAGTAGCGACATTGCATGTATATACGGTGATTGTGTAGCTGCAGATAAGTGTTGATAATTATATGTACTTGCTCCGCTTAAAAAAACACCTATATACCGTTGGTTTTTGCTTTTCTGCATAGAAAGTCTCCGAGTTTTCGCTCAACGATGGTTAAAGCAAAGAAATTTGTTTTGACCAAACACTTTGTCGGAGAACCAAAGCCCGGCGATCTCACTTTAGTTGAGTTCGATTTACCGGAACTCAAAGATGGAGGTGAGTGGACTGTCAAATTTGTATGCATATAAAACGACTGATCATGATATCATTGAATTACATTTGTGGATAATACTTAGTAGAAATCATTTCATGTCATTTGAAATATTCATACGAACAATGGAATATTTTGTATATTTTTAATCTTTCGACTATAATAAAATTTATAAATTTCTTTTCTATTCCCACTCGTGACTATAGTTATGAGGTTCATAATATATACGCTAACTTTATTTATCGAAATTTTTTCTTCGATTAAGTACTGTATTTAAAGCCGATTAATTTTGCGTTTTTACGTTTTTAATAACAGAAAAAATTATGATACTAAAATACCAGTCATGTTGTTAACATATGATAAGTATATTTATCTATTCAATACAATAGTGAATGTGTAAAGGCTACAACTAGAAATAATCATTATATTACAAAAAATAATGTTATCTAATTGATTAAAACAGTCATTGACTTATTTGGTTTCAAAACAAAAATATTAATTAATTACTGTTTTTAAATTTAACATAATAAACAGTAAATAAAGCTAAGCTGCGGGGCTAGAAAAATTCAATTGATTAAAAATTAAGCTATAATAGTACCATATATGTTTTTTTTATGATTTGATTTGCATTAGTACAAAAGATTTGTGCTAAAAAAAATTTCAATGCCGCCAACACTTGACTTTCTAGTAATTATTACTCTTGTGTCACAACCACCTGTTTCAATTACAAAGAACTTCAACATCTTCTTCCTTCATTTGTGCATATCATCTATGAAAAATATATGTTCATGACAGTTAGGCACTTGAATCAAAGAAGTATAATGAAATATCATAAGTCTAATAACAGATGTTAATACCAGATGAATATTCTCGAACAGACAGTGTATTAGAATAGACTTGTTACCTACAATTAGAATGTTATATCAGTAATAAGTGCACTAAATTATACAGACATTTAAATAGCTTCTTTTTTATATAGTTTACAAAAAGAAATTAATGTAGTCCTGAAATTTATATCAAATAATAACACTTGTATTGTTAAATTGAGTTGCATTTTGAAATCATATAATTATTGTCATCTGTAAAAAATGTGCCTTTTTTTCATAGAAATCCTTGTGCAAGCCGAGTACTTATCGGTGGACCCTTACATGCGACCGTACAGCGCGCGGTTCCCTATAGGTACCACCATGATCGGCGGTCAAGTGGCAAAAATTATCAAGTCAAAAAATCCAAAGTTTCCCGTGGATAAACGCATAGTCGGTTACTTGGGTTGGACAACTCACAGCGTTCTCAATCCCGACGATCCAAATCCTGATATATTGAACATGAAGCCTTATATTATATCTGGTATCATGGACGATTTACCGGTTTCTTTTGCTTTGGGAATGGCGGGAATGCCAGGGTAAGTTGCAATGATTATTTCCTGCTTACTTCCGAATGCACGCGACAAATGCTTAAAATCCAATAATTGGGTTGGGTTGGATTTCAGAAATACTGCGTACTTCGGATTGACTGAAATCTGTCAGCCAAAAGCTGGCGAAACCTTGGTCGTGAGTGGCGCGGCTGGAGCGGTCGGATCGCACGTCGGTCAGATAGGAAAGATTCTTGGCATGAAAGTCATCGGTATCGCTGGCTCCGACGCCAAATGCCAATGGTTGGTGAACCAACTTAAATTTGACCACGCTATCAACTACAAAACCGAAGACGTTTCGACTGCACTGAAAAAGGCTGCACCAGACGGCGTCGACTGCTATTTCGATAACGTGAGTATGCATTTCCATTTTTCAACTCTAGTACAAGGCGATTTTGCACTTAGCACACATGGACCAATGGTAAACGATGATTTTCGCTTCACCTCAGGTCGGCGGAGAAATATCCAGCACCGTTATTTACCAGATGAGACTACGTGGTCGCGTTTCCATTTGTGGTAGCATTTCCTCTTACAATGCCGATATGACTGCTCTACCAAAAGCTACCATTGTACAACTTGGTATGATATTCACTGAAATAAAAATGGAAGGATTTATGGTTACCAGATGGAACGATAGGTGGATGGAAGCGATTCAGAAAAATGTCGCGTGGATTCGTGAAGGGAAACTTATCTCCCGAGAGACTGTGACCGAAGGCTTCGAAAACATGTTCAAAGCTTTCACGGGTATGTTAAAAGGCGAGAATTTTGGAAAGGCCATTGTTAAAGTCTAATGTGAAAATTTATTTTAAATTGTTTATATTGTTATGTAATAAGACATCTTTTATTTATCAAAATTTGTTTTCAAATACATAATGCTTAAAAAAAATAGTTCTTTGAGATAAAAATCGGCGTTACAAACATTGATTAAATATTTTGTATAATAAGACAATAATAAACAGACTGAAAAAAGATAAAATCTATTGTGAAGTAAATTTTTTTCTACTAAATGAAAATCGTTTTTTATTGCTTATACTATTAGTATCTTTGAAATATTCAAATCTTCATGAGAAACTAATTATTTACATTATATCTGAAGTGAACTACAATATCTGCCAATGTACATCAATCGTTTTTAATTTTAGACGTATCAACATTGTTCATAAAAATTCTATCTTCACTGGTAATAATTTAATTAGTAAAAACGTACTTCATAGAATAAAATTTCACAACTATGTAAATTCTTTTTAAAAGATTTTGACGAGAATTCATGACTGATATCATTACGTTCCCATGACTGCGGCTATGAATTGTCAACATTTTTAATGATGTAGTTTCACGTGTTAATGCTTGACAATGAGAATTAATCATATTCTCGAAACGTTACGCATAATTGAATAAAAATGTCGTGTTCAAGAAAGGATCTATCTATGAAATTTTATACTGCAAATTATTTACAAAATATGCTATAAGATTTGTATTTTTAAAAATGAGAATAATTATTCATCGATGTTCTTGACAAGCATCTACAAATATAAATACTATGTGTCTGAAGTAAGAATTATAGCCTTAAAGTTATTCCAAATCTGACACCTATTCCTGCGGTGAAATATTTAAATATTAATAAAATTATTGAAATAATTATAAACTAAACAGTTATTATTGAAAGCCAGTGATCCAGCATACAAAACGTAAATTTACATACGTAAATAAAAGCAGATTACAACGAACTACAGTGGATCCACTGTAAACTCGCATGTATTCCAACAAATTAGTTTTTACCGAACCCTCGTTTTACAACGCATTCTTAGCAGAAGCCAATAAATGGGGTCAACAGGAACACGTAAAAAATGTAACAGCAGTTTGACAGATTAGAGAATTGAGTTAAAATTGAGAAATGGAAACAAATCCTTATTTTTTTGTAGTGATCCTCAAGAAAAATATCGAAGCACTTTTTAAAAAAAAATGAAGAAAATGAAGAATGAAAAAAAATTAATTTTCGAGTAAAGTTGATAGTAACGTTTTTTTTTTTTCATAAAAATAAAATTGATTTATCAAATATTCAAAGAGGAATAATAATTGAAAAGAAAAAAAAAATTTACAATTTGTTAGCATTTTTTAACCTCTATGCAGATTTGCCCCGGTGGCAGACTCATTACTATTGTTCGCGACGTTGGCCACTATTTGTAGCGGATGTATCGTAGATCTCCGCGGGGTTACGTCTAATAGTGCTTTTGAAGTCGATTCCATTCTTACCTACCTCACATTTTCTCAGGAACGGCTGGTCACGAGCTCGTCTGTGGAGAATATATATGTATCGAATTAACGTTAGTCTTATTCTACTTCTCTTGTGACCTTTAGTCCTCTGAATTGCCTGGTTATTCAATATCGAATGTGGGATTGGAAACTTGCAATCTCGCGTATAAATAAGAATTTGCAGTTCTCACGTATAGACTCTCAAAATGTTCGACTACTTTCTTTGTAATAAACCAAATCACCTGCACATCATTATCTTAGCAGTAAATAGATGCGGTCATGTTTATAATCATAAGAATCCTTATAACACCCGTAACGAGATCGTTAAAACAAACAAAAATAAAGAGTTGATATAATTAAAAGAAATTGAAAATATGCACTGCTTTGCAAATCTAATGAGCTCTTAATTAAAAAATCAATAATAGCAACAACAGCCAAATTGAAATATTCAAAAGTATTGAAAGTATAAAACTGATTTCGTTTACAAACTTGTCAATTCCTTTATCAAAGTTATCGAAGGTATAAAATGAATCGAATAATATATTCATATACACTCATGTATTCTTACTGTTAGAAGGTTTACTTCTTAGAACAACGTAATTATGTGTTGTCACGTTCCATTGAAATATGTGACTTTTACATTGGTGGATCCTCGTTATGGACATGCCGCTATTTTCCTGAGAAAGCGGCAACGAACTCGTGGGAAAACAGACATATTTATTCTAGACTAAAATCTTTTTCAATGCACCTCATAATTTCCTTGCACAAAGTGTACGTGTAAATCTAAAGCAACATTCACTGAAATACATTCATTGTCATACTCTGATTGTGACTCGATAAAAAAAATAGTATCAAATTAAAAATGTCTCCGGAAAAATACATACATACGATTTTCACAAATAGAGAAAGATTGGAAATACGAGCGCGTTTATTATATTTTAAATGGATACATTTTTAATAAATAAATTTCCAATCTAAAGACAGCTTTGAGCTAATGTCAGCTCATAGTTTTTTAACGTGTTACTATAAATCTTGGAAAGTCTATCTTTAACTTTGCAGTGAACTTCCTCTTTTCGATGTTAGAGAGTTTACAGAAGCGTCGGATGATGTTACGAAAAAGTGAAAATGCGCATTGAAGCATCCCAATCCGTTTCTGGTCCAATGCGTGCGTCATTGATGCGACTTTACTTGCCAAGTCTTGAAATCGGTATAATGTTTTTCTTTTTATAAGAATTTAAAAACAATTAGTACAATGCGATTTTAACGATCCTTTGCTAGTTGACAAAACGAATATTAGTTTTTGAGAATAATATTTTAATGATAAGTTCACTTTTTTCTTTAGGATCTCACTACCTTAGAAAAACTGACGCTATTTCTATATAGACGGGCGAAAGAAAAATGTATACCATTAAGAAAATTGTCATCACCACATTTGTACATACATACGTGACATAACATCTTACGAGGGTGGTTTGATAAGTCCGTGACTTCTCAAAAGGTGACACTGTTATCGTAACGTATTTTATACTTTAAGAGAGTCTCATCTAGTATGAGTGTGTACACAAAGTTTCAAGTCAATACGTTGGTTAGAAAATTTTTGGATCTTTTGAATTTAGTGTTTCATTGTTTTTACAAAAGCATGGAAAAAAAACGAATTTCGAGTGCTTATTAAACATTATTTTCTGTGTGGAAAAACACTTAAGGAAACAGAAGAAAAGCTTCAAAATATTATAAGGACTCTATATTATATTTCATTATTAGATAGGTTTGAAACCATACTGAAGGAAAAGCGGCCCCATCCGGCGAAGAAAAAAGTGCTCTTCCACCACGACAATGCACCAGCTCACACGAGCGCAATTGCAATTAGTAGAATTGCGGTGTGAATTACTTCCTTGCCCACCTTATTCTCCAGATTTTAAACCTTCTAATCATTTTCTATTTCCAAACATGAAAACTTGGCTTGATGGTAAAAGATTTTCATCGAATGAAGAGATTATGACTGCCACAAATGAGTATTTTGAGTTCTACAAAAGTTACGTTTTGGAAGACTTAAAAAAGATTTAATACCGCCGGAATAAATGTATCGAGTTGGGAGGGGACTATATTGAAAAATAAAAAAAATAGTTTAACTAAATTGTTTTTTTTTATTTAAAGGTCACGGACTTATCAAACCACCCTCGTATTTTGGTATATACCTTGATCATTTGGATAATGAAGACTGAAGCTTTTTGTAAGATCGAACATTGAAAATCTTAAAAGTTTGAAATAAAATTACATAATGAACGCTGTTTCCCGGTACTTGTCCGCAGAGTCGCGTGCCCCCATGTCGATACTCGACTTGAGCTCTGCGAAATCAAGTGCAATAATGAACTCGGATAAAAAGGATATTTGTAAAAAGGAAAAATCACCGGCCGATTATGGTGACACTTGATCCGTATCAAAGGAATCAACCGATACAGTTCGTTACTCAAGGAGCGTATGTAAACCTAAGAGTTCACTTGATATCGCAAAAGTAATTGAAAAACTTTCAAATTATGAAATTCACCAGCTAGATGAAGAAGCGTGTGTCTTGGGAAAATCGGATAATTCGCGTTGATGCTTTGGTCGATGGGAAGCCCACAATGTAGGAGAAACTTAACGACCTGTGAGTTCTTGTTATACGCGCTACGTGAGAGTGAGATGTGCCTTTGTTGTCTGACGAATTTTAAAAATTGTTACGCATGATACGAGAGAATAATGAAAGATCGACAAATGGGATTTTTCGCGAGAGTGATCTGACTTCGTTAAAATCCTTACATACAGTGTGAGCGGCAACTGCATACAAATACTTTGTTCGAGGGTCTAGTCGTTACCAATGGCTAATGAAAATTTCAATGCCAAGGGAAAAGTGGCAGATCCTGATAATCCTTGATGGACAAATAAGCGTTTATCAATAGATTAAACGAACCAACATTTTCACCGCACTTATCTGCGAAATGCAATGCTGTGTAGCCTAGTAAATTATTATTGATATTAATACTCGTAAAAAATCTGGTAATAATATATATTACCTCCGCTTGTGGAAAATTGTTTTAATGCGCTTGATGTCTAAATTCAGTTTGCAAGCGTGATAAATTTCACAAGTTTTTCCTTGATTTTATAACTCATAATTACCTAATTTTCTTTATTTCGCCGGCAATAATTACACACGTACAACCATTATATCAAGCAGGTAAAAGTGAGTGGTGACTTTTTTCTTTTATAATTCCTCCGTAAAAGATAAAACTTTAAAAATCTTGCAAAAAATTGCCATTCCACCAGAGGCTCATTATTACTTGTAATTACTTTTGTATGATTTTTTACTAGTACAAGCTTTAACAACATCGAGACCTCTTCGATGTTTTTAAGAAGATAATTGTTATAATATGTATCAAATGAAAACTTTCTAAATATACTTATAAACGAGATTACCCCGTGAACTTCTCTTGGCGCGCATTCAAGCTACCCTTAGCTATACCTTCCTCTGGCCGTCACTTCCGCATTTATGAGCTTCGCAAGCATGAGAACGCAGCGTAGTTTCGCGGTAAACGAATTCATAACAAAATTATAACTTATCGTCAAAAGATGCATCTATATTTATGAGGCAGTTATCTTTTTCTACGTAAAAAAAAATCTTTTTTCCGCTTGCATCGTAAAACGTCCAGTCGCTCGCGCTTGTCTTGTTTACGACAAATAAAGATAATTGAAGCGCGCAAACTGTTGAAATTAGTCTCTCGCATCATTAACATATCGCGCGGCCGAATGAACCGTGCACGAGTTTTATCGAATATTTTTACTTTAGCGTCGCCTCGAGAATGTGAAAACAGTTGATTTTCACTTATAGCAAAACTGATAATTATTTTCGCTGACTGCAAGTGTTATTAGTTTTCGTTGATTTTGTAGCTATTCACACGCAGGCTTAAAATGAAAATGTCGAGTATTCACTCTAATTATCCAATAAATATTATAACCATTTTTTATATATTTTCTATTAGGAACACAGAGCTTTCGTTGCGTTAAAGTCGATCGCTTCCTCGCTCGATTTTAAATCATATTTCTGTTTGCAGCCACATTAAGATCACTCGATATGACAATTTGCTGCGAGAACAGTGATTATCTTTTTACATTATTTTAGTGAAACTTGTAACTTTCTACGTATTAATTTATAGCGATGCTTACTTTTAAATTCCGTTTTTTCTCACGTAGTTGATTATTATTATTATTATTATTATTATTTACTGCATGAAAATTGAAAAGTCAAAGCTGAAAAATATGTCAATGAAAAGTAAAAAAATTAGCCGACTCATCGCGATGTCGATACACGCAAGTAGTCGACAACAACAGATGAGAGCTGGCTTTGAATTTCTTCGTTCGATTTCTTCACGAAACGGATGTTGCGTTGCTGGCGAGCGAGCGCTGTTCGAAAAGCAATTATCCAATCATGTTTCATTCGGTGAATCGACAAAATGTAATGTAGCAGTAGGCAGATCGTTAGAGAAACCATTCTTTAAAAAAATGATGGATGCCTGTGACGCGGAACGAGGCTCCTAACAATGGGTTCGACCATTCGGTCTAGCTTTTATAGCGTGGAGACGTACATCCGCGTACCTCGGCTAGATTTCACGACGGCGACTAAAGAGTTGGCCCACCGTTGTCTCGAAACCGACGCGGATGTGGAGTGGAATATGCAGCACGAGAAAAACGAAGTTGCATCGGGGAGAGATGAAAGGAAGAACGAGGAGAGCACCTAAGAGACGCAGTCGGCGAAAGGCCGCGAACGAGCAGTACGAGGCAAAAGAAAAAAAAAAGACTAGAGTGGGAAAATGTAGCTGGAGCTTGATACTGATTACAGGTATTGACTAGACGACTCGAGTCGTTCTTTTTCTTTTTACTTTTTCCTTAACGGATTCCCGTCGCGGTTTCCGCTTTTTCTCGGCAACGCGCGAGAGACCTTGTCGCTCACTAATATACCTATCATTTTCAGCTAATTTGAATTCCAGATTTCGGAGCGCATGCTCGTGATCCTTTCGGATTTTCCACCGATGCTAACCGAGCCGCCAACTTTCAGATCAACTTGGGAAAAAAGCCACTGGCTTTACGGCTGCGAGATAAACGTCTGCTTTTTCGCCAAGTGAATTAGAGTGACTATCTTTATTGCTTCTCATTTTCTGTCGAGTTGAAAAACAGGGTAACAAATAAAGAAAATGCTTTCCTTTTCGTATTATCGAATCGGTATATTTCTATAAAAAGTTAATGATATCAGTCTTATTTTCCACGTACGTTGCAAAACAATTATTGGCTTCATTGCAGAGTGTCTTGATCGAAAGCCATCGGGTGCGTTGTTCCGAAGACGGAAGCAAGCGAAACCGGTTGCCATCGACAAACTTCGAATTTTATTTTAGACGTTTATTATGCCAAAAAACGGGTTATTCATGGGCGAATTATCCCCACGAGACGCAATTTTAGTGCGATAAATTAGAAATACCGAAAAACAAAAGAAAAGAAAAAAGAAAAAATAAAATCACACGTCGGAATTCCACGCGAGAAGCCGTCCAATAATTCCCATCGACAGCGGCGCTAAGCGCAAAATCTCGCTAAATTCCAAGATTAAAAATGTAATAATCGGTTCGGTCGTTCGAGCTGCAGGCTCGCGCGAGCGCGGAGCGCTTGAGACGGACGAGGAGGCGAGCGAGAAAGGCGTCGACGGCGCGCGTTCCTAAAAGTTTCTAACGCGCGAGGCAGGTGAAAAGCGGAGAAGTATAACGCTGACACGCATCGCGTAGCCGGCTAATAGAATAGGAAGCACGCGAGCGCCGCGGCGGTCATTCGATTCTCGCGTCACGGAATCCGATCCGGGAGCGCAGTCGCGAGAGTTGGGAAAAGCCGCGCCGGCTTTGTGCACGCAAACCCGAGATTATCGCGGCGGATTGATTTTCAGATCGGTCAGAAAGTCGCGTCTCAGGTGTGCGGCCGCCGCTCGCCTACTGCTCGCTTTTCCTGAACAGAGCGTTCACGTCTTGGCGGCCGTTGTTGTTGTTGCTGTGCACTTTCAAGTGCAACTTGATGTGCTGCTTGATGGGCGTGCTGTAGGAGCAGTCCGGGCAGTGATAATGCCCTTTCACGTCGCAGACGCTGTCGAAGTGTCGCTTGATTTGATGGTACTCTTCGAACTCGCGGCCGCACAGTGTGCATCCGTAGAACGGTTTTTGCTGGCACTTGTAACACTCCTGCCTGCCAGACAGACGAATGTCGCAATCCACGCAAATCTTGTAGAAACGATCTGTAACGGTATAACCCACACACACACACACACACACACACGTTGACTTACGTTGCACTTCGCTTTTTTTCGGTCTGTCGCTCTCTTGTTATTTATCCACTGCGACGAAAAAAAGGCACTTTCAATTACTTACCACCTCTCACTCGGTTGCCTTTTACGTGCACAACGAGCACGTGTTTCGTTAGATAGTCCTTTCGTTGAAATGTTTTTTTGCACTCGCCGCAGATGAATTTTCGTTTGTTGCAGCTCAACAGATGAACGTTCAAGCTGCTCTCGTTCTTCAGCGTCGTGTGACATTTTTCGCACTCTGCGACAGACGAGCAGAAGAAACAGAATGAGAGAAAAAAACAAATAAATAAAAACAAGGAAGAGATCGGCAAGGGCGTTCGAAGCATTGTTGGGAAAAGCGAGCGAACAGTCACTTCACCTATCGGATCCCTGGCCGCGTGTTTGAACCGCTCGTGCTGCTCCAGTTTCGAGGCGTTTTTGAATAGCTTTCCGCACTTTTCGCAGAGAACGCTGGCCTCGGCCTCGCAGTACGCCAGGTGCTTCTTGAGCGCGTTCTCGATCATGTGCTTGCCACAACGCGGACACTCTGAAAGCAGAGAGCGAGACGTTTTTGCATTTTCTTTTCTTATTGATTCGCCGACTTGTGGCGCGACAATGACGGGACTTACGCGCAAGCGCCGCCGAAAAGAACTTGCTGTCCAGGGTCTGCCTTATGAGCGCATTCATGGTGGTGCGAGCGCAGAGCTGGCGCGGCGGTGCGGCTTGGGCGGCGACTGCCCGTTAAATGATCGTCGCGCAGTTTCCTAATGCTCGTTTGCGCCTTCGATAGGTCACTGATAGCGCTACGCGGATAGGTGTACGCACTGCGGCAAGTTCCGGCTTGTACTTTCACGCGACGGCCGAGCAGAGGATAAAAAACACGGGAAAGAAAAAGGAGCGCCGGCCCCGCTTCTGGGCAGCAGGCAAATGGGGACTGGACAAGCGCAGTCGGAATTGGGAAAAGTGCGAAGCTGGCCTGCCCGTGGAGGTAGCTGCGGCGGTGGTGGCGGCGGCGGTCGTCGAGGCTGCAAGGCAAAAACAGAGGCGGATTAGAATGTACAGAGGCAGAGCGGCGCGCATAGAAAGGCGTGCGCCGGCGGAGAGATGCGTGTGCAACTTACGATTCGCGATGAATGAAGCGAGCGCGAACGGAGATGCCGTTAAGAATGCGCGTGGCGCGTTAAGGCCGCGGCCAAAAGTGAAGCCGAGTGAAGTGAACCGAGCAGGTAGGCGCGCGCGAGTTGAATAACCGAGGCGGCGCGTGCACACGTGACGGCGCCGAGTCGCGGCAGAAGTCACTCGGCGAATCAGCCGGTCCCTCGCGCGTGCTCCGGTCAGCAGCTCGGTTCGGAGTGCAAGGACCGCGACGGCAACTGGTTTTCTGGACGCTGTCCTGTAACTAGGTCTGCCCCCACCAACCCCCTTCCTCGAGGCCTGCTCGCGCGCCGAGATTTTTCGGTGGTACCTTTTGGCCGTTGACTCCCTGCGACTTCCCTCCCTCTGCCTCTCTCTCGCTCTCTCTCTCTCTCTCTCTCTCTCTCTCTCTCTCTCTCTCTCTCTCTCTGCTGCCACCGCCGCCGCCGTCGCCGCCGCGCTCGACCCAGGACCAGCCGAGGGCGTTCTTCCTCTCCGCGGAACTGCCTTTTTTCCCTGCAAATGCTTGCTGCTAGGCCACCACGGCTCTCATAGCGACCTGCGAATGCGGGGGCGGATGTGTGTTCTATTGCCTAGACCGCTGCTTAGGTCGCACACGCTAGATGGATCTACTTGTATTCTGCACTCGACTCTATTTTTTTGCATACACCACTGTTATGCTGTACTACATATCCCTTTCGCTTTAAACTCAACTACGTACGCCACGCGATCTACCTATATCGTTCACGTAACTGTCCATTCACTTAACAGACCTCTATATTGTACATTACATTTTACTTGGCCGCCGTAAATCATTTCACGTAGGCGGATTTGCTTTCTAAGGCTGTAGCCAGTTGAAAAACCTCATTGAACAAATATCAGAACTGTTGATTACTCTCCTCCCGAGGATATTTCTTCTTCTAAAAAAGAGCTTTAATGGTGAAAGCGCTATATACGCGCAATTCGTAGCGATAGTCAAGTTGGAATTTTTTATTTTTAACATGACCCACCATCGACTTGCAATGACTTTTTTTTGCATTTGCGAACTCGAGCAAGCAGCATTCTTCGAAAAATCAATTTGGGACAGCTTGTCTCAACGTCGTTTATCGTAACTCGAAGTAATTATAATTTTACTGCAATCTTTATGGCTAAAAGCTGTTATCATTGAAATTGCATGCAGTAGAATACGATGTGGACATTTACTTTGTCAATTTTTTCCAATTGCCAGTTTATAATTTTTTAATAAAATCATTCCTCGGACGATGAGTATCTAACTAATTGTGTATATATCGATGAAATACGAAGAATAATCTATACCGTAGCTTGTAGTTTTTAAAATAGCAATAACAATATCGTGACATGAATTAAAGCAACGATCGATATTTTCCATTTAGCGCAGACGAAAAGTTTCACCCAGTAATCAGTATTCATACCAATTTAGCTATCTACATAGATTGCATGCAAATCGAGTGAAAATAGTATATCGTTAGTCGTATTCTAACGTTCATTTTTCTTTTGACTATGCTCAACTGGCAAATCTTTTCTTTTTCTATTTTTTAGTATCGAGCACGGATTTACATTTTTTTCTTGTGATACTGTAAGCGTCTCATAGATACTGTATTCGCGAAAGCACGCGAGCGAGTAGAAAAAGTGCCGAATTTCGCGGTGTAACAGACCCCTCGAAAGGTAGAGGTCCTCTGCCGCGAGCACGCCGTTACGCAAGAACAATTTGACAACCTTGAGCACACTTTTGTTATGTAAGCTTCTTAGGATTGAGTTTATCGTCGCGGTTTAAAAGATATACTAATCGAGCATTTAGGCAACGAACTTTATTGCTCAATGCTCATTGTCTCCCGCTCTCGGCTTACCGGCAGTATATTGCGGACAGCGGTGGAGGTAATATTTTTTACAGCGTCTAATTTAATTCCTGTCCAAACTTTGACTTTTTATACATCCTGCTTCGTAATAGATTCAGTCATAAAAATTAGAGTATTCGGCTAATGGGCGTCCTTACTAATTCCAATTTTGCAACCGTATTGCAATTTTCTTTTTACAGCTTCTGTCCGTATAATTTCGTTTTATTTATCACTTATACTATTTCATATAATACTAAGCTAATACAAATTTGTTTCTAGAAAGTTACGTGCGATTATATATTATTCGCTGTAAGCATTTTGTTTTTTCGTGTTTTCTAAAAATTATTCGAATATCAGAGCGTGAAAAAGTCGTGTCGCGAAGGACTCGTTACAATGCATCATAAAGAGGCTTGAAGAAAAATCTTAAACAACGTGACTATGGCGTCAATCTTTCATTAACAGATTTTATTTGTCGATTGGGAACATTAAATATATAAATAGACGATGTAAATAAATTAACTAAAAATGAAATTATTTTTAAGATTGTTAATCAAATGATACAGTTTTTATTGTACAACCAATATAGTATTTATCTATTCAATTGGTATAAAAATTGTTCAAAAATTGAATCAACTTCATCGTAAAATATATTAAACTTTTGTTATTGTTTTTCACAATTATATCATTGTCTGTACTAAATTTGTAATCATTTTCCGAAAAAAATTTATATTACAACGTATTACCATAATATACTAGCTCTTACTGAGTTTTGAAAACATAGTAAGCGTACTATATTTTAAAAACTGGCGCCACTTATCAATGCAATCCATACAAATATGGCTGCCGTTTAGTTCACGGCACATTATAGATTTGTGAGCTGACGTGTCTTGTGCTTTCGTACGGTTTTTTAGTTTAGCCAAAATGAATGCTTTTAAACGTGAAAAAAAGGAAGAGGAAGATGGTAAGTATCATTTTTAATATAAATTTCAGTCCTTTATGGTATGTTCTCATTGGTGTTCGTATTAAAACAATGAAATAAGGTTATTTCCGTATACCTGTTTGTCAGCTTTCAAACCTATATCTTTATCAAAATAATAAACATTATCCTATTCTGTATTTAGTTATAGTTCTAACAATAATTCTGTGTTTTAAATAGGGGGGAATCCATTTCAAAATCTGGAAAAGACTTCTGTGCTACAGGAAGCTCGCACCTTCAATGATACTCCAGTTAATCCAAGGAAATGTGCACACATTTTGACTAAAATCTTGTACTTGCTGAATCAAGGAGAACAACTTGGAACAACAGAAGCCACGGAAGCTTTCTTTGCTATGACCAAGCTTTTTCAATCTCGTGATGTTGTGCTCCGCCGTTTAGTGTATCTGGGTATCAAAGAATTAAGTTCTGTTGCCGAAGATGTTATTATTGTTACATCAAGTTTGACAAAGGATATGACGGGCAAGGAAGATCTTTATAGAGCAGCAGCCATTAGAGCATTATGCACAATCACAGACAGTGCAATGTTAGCTACTATTGAAAGATACATGAAACAAGCAATAGTAGATCGCTCTCCAGCAGTTTCAAGTGCTGCTCTAGTGTCTTCTCTCCATCTGACAAGGGTTTCTAGTGATGTTGCAAGGAGATGGGCAAATGAAGCTCAAGAGGCTTTGAATTCTGATAATGTTATGGTTCAGTATCATGCACTGGGTGTACTTTATCAAGCTAGGAAGTCAGACAAGCATGCAGTTATTAAATTAGTAGCAAAGTTAATGAGATCTAGTCCCAAAAGTCCTTATGCAGTTTGTATGTTGATAAGAATGGCCTGCAAGCTATTAGATGAAGTAGACGAAGGATCAGAATTTTTAGAATTCATTGAATCTTGTATTCGTCACAAATCAGAAATGGTAGTTTATGAAGCTGCACATGCATTGGTTAATCTTGGTAGAAGTGGCACAAGAGAAATTGCATCAGCCATCAGTGTTTTACAATTATTCTGTGGCTCTCCCAAACCAGCTCTTAGATTTGCTGCAGTACGCACTTTGAATAAAGTAGCAATGACACATCCAGGAGCGGTAACTTCTTGCAATTTAGATTTGGAAAATTTAATTACTGATTCAAACAGATCAATTGCCACCTTAGCTATTACTACTCTTCTGAAAACTGGTGCAGAAAGCTCTGTGGATCGTCTGATGAAACAGATTGCTACATTTGTATCAGAAATCTCTGATGAATTTAAAGTTGTTGTTGTACAAGCCATCAGGTAATTCCTTTTATACTACAATACATTCATTAAAATTGCTTTGAAAATTTCTCACATTAGTGTGTCTATAACATTCTTATATTAATTAATCTAATTATAATTTTTCAGAGCACTTTGCCAGAAATTCCCACGCAAACATACCGTGCTCATGAACTTTTTGTCGGCAATGTTACGAGACGAAGGAGGTTTGGAGTACAAAGCAGCCATCGTTGATACCATTATCGCAGTGATGGAGGGTAACGCTGAGGCAAAAGAAGCTGGTCTCGCTCATCTGTGTGAATTCATTGAGGATTGCGAGCACACTTCCTTGGCAGTACGCATTCTTCACTTGCTTGGCCAGGAGGGTCCTACGTCGAAGCAACCATCTCGTTACATTCGTTTCATCTACAATCGCGTGATCTTAGAAAGCGCGAGCGTGAGAGCAGCCGCAGTAACTGCGTTGGCACACTTCGCCGCTGCTTGTCCTGCTTTGCTGCCGAATATTCTCGTGCTGTTATCGCGCTGTCAACTCGATTCTGATGACGAAGTTCGCGATAGAGCCACTTATTACTGCACGATTCTTCAGCAAAATGCCGATCCAACAATCTTGCCGCTTGTACAACCACCGCAACTATCAATACCGAGCCTAGAAAGAGCATTAAGAAATTACGTTACATCATCGATGGACGAGGACTTTGACATTTCATTGGTAATTATTGAAATCTCAAACAATTGCTGTATCTATTTTCTGTTGTTTTTTATGATTTGAAAAAAATCGTAAATTTCAATTGTTTTCTGCAGATCCCACCTGCACAAGTAATTGAAGAACCAACGCCAGAAGTGACGGCGGCAGTGAGACCACAGCAGCAAAGACTGACAAGAGAGGAAAGCTACATGGAAAAGCTTACGCAAGTACCGCAACTTGCAGCAATCATTGGCGACTCAATATTGTTCAAATCCTCAACTATCATCGAACTCACGGAATCAGAAACAGAGTACTACGTCAAGTGTATCAAGCATTGTTTCACAGATTTTCTCATTTTGCAATTTGATTGTGTTAATACGCTGGATGATCAGTTCTTGGAAGACGTCAGAGTGGAAATAGAAACGCAAGACACGTATGTATTTTAACGATCCATTTTTATCTTTTGAAACAGTTATAACATTTTATATTATCGTAAAATTGAAAATGAGTCACTGAGCGATTGAGTGTCCATGCAATAATAAGTCCGTTATTAATTAAATCATGATTCTAAACTTGCTTAAAATCATATGTTTATTTACAATGGTCTGATTGTTGTGTTCGCAGTATTACGCGTCGCATCCTCTCGTCTATTCTAGTAAATAAAAGCTAATCCGAACGATATTTAAAGATTGAGTTTAACTCGTCAATCGCGATCCTAGTGTTAGCGAATAATCGCTTACGTAGAATGATGAGGAATGATATTCCAACCTCCTCGGCTCGGTGATCCTCTTATGATGACCAGTGACTTCCTTAATCGAAGGTACGAGGTTTCTTAGAGTCGTTGACCAATCTCGATGTGGGAAACTCCAAAAGGCTGAGAGGTGTTGATCGGAGGGCAGATGCCGCGCGAGTCTCGGTTTTATTTTATTTTGAGCACCATCCCTCATTGCTGTCCACAACTGAAGATATCGCGCCTCGATCAGCTCGCCATCTCGCACAATCGAATCCCGAATCACTCAGAACCGCGAAATATTTGACTTCGCGAAATACGTATGTTACACAGTTCTACGAATTAACTTTTAAAATTTATTTCAGCTACACTTTAGTCTGCGAGGTTCCATGCCCAAAGTTGCCATATAACGAACCAGGCACATGCTACACAGTATTGAAATTTCCCGAGGATCTTCAATCTACGGTCATCACGTGTCCTGCAACAATGAAGTTTATTGCTCATGAATGCGATCCAACGACCGGTTCGGCTGAAGAGCAAGGCTATGATGACGAATATATGGTAAGCATTTTTACGCAGTATAGAAATTTTTATTTAAAATAAGTTGCTAACAAAATGAAAACCGTTATAGTTGGAAGATTTGGAAATAACAGTCAGGGACCAAGTACGCGGACTCGGTGTCCGCAATATCGACTTCGCAAGTGTCTGGGATTCCGCAGAAGCTCGCAACTTTTTCACGCAAGAGCAAGTATTTGCCTTGGGTGCTAGAGTTACTACTATTGAAGCTGCTATTCAAAGTCTAATCACATTCCTCGGTATGGAACCAGCAGAAAGATCCGATCGTGTCAAGTCTGGCGCAGCTCAGCACACACTTTTACTTTCTGGCATGTACAGAGGTGGCAAGGAAGTTTTGGCCAGGGCAAAACTTGCACTTACGGATCAAGTCACCATGCAGTTTACTGTTCGCTCGCAGGATCCCGATGTCGCAGAGCTGATGATTTCTTCTGTTGGTTAAAGATTCCACGACGTCTATTAAAGATTCGGGGTTAAAATTTGTTGTGAGAATTGTGGAGAAAAATAGCGAATTTTTTTATGATCTTGTGTCGAAGTGTAGACGCATTATAGGTACTATTGAGTATTTTTGAAGAATAGCAAGGATGTTTATTTGTTGTCTTGAACGTGACTATTATTAATTTTAAGAAAAAATTACTGTATAACTGTGAGACAATTGTATTTTTTTATAAATTTCAATTGTGTATTTAAGTATGATTATTATAAAAATACAAATATTATCAGACAAGCGTTCAATTTTTATAATGCGTATACTTGTCAGATATATGCGTTTAATTGCAGATACCTACGCTATCGATAGATTCTCCAATTGAGAAATTAAAGAGGGCGTATGATGTATTAGCACACGAATGTGGTCAACGGTGCACTGTGTGCTATTTCTGCGTAAGCGTAGCATACATAGTTTCTCATAGCTATTCGACTCCAGCGCGTTACGGTTGTAGCTCGAGTCTGGCTCACTCGCAGTCGCGGCATCGTGTTTTTTTGTTCCCGCGAGTAAGGTTTTTTTGCGAGTCAATTCGAAAATGGCCGCTGTACTCGACGAAGTCGGCAAGTCCGCGGAAAAGCTCGTTGACGAGGAGAAAGACGAAATCATCGACGACGCTGATCAGGCTGGCCTAGAAGCGTCCAAGAAGAAGAAAAAGAAAAAGAAGAAGAAGAAGGCCGGTGTGTGCAGTCAATACGATTATTGTTTTTTTAGGTTCATCTTTACAAGCATGCCGACATGCTCTCATATGTTGCTCGCGATTATTTGCTTTTACAATTGTGCAACAAGCTAACGATTTTACAATGTAGTTGTATGATGTGAATATAAATGATTTTTACGATAGGATTTTGCTAATAATAACTGATTTTTTGGTTAGAATGTGGGCATACGTTAATGACTCGTGGGAGCACGTGTTGATAACGTTTGAAATTATAATTATGTTAAATTGTTGCTAAGTGATCATATGTGCTTATAGATTCTGGAGAAGCAAGCGCAGATGTTCCAGAAGGTGAAGATGAAAAATCTAAGAATGACAAAATTGACGAAGGTTTGATAATTTTTTTTTACGTTATATTAATAAATAGTAGAGTAGTGACGCTTTCAATACGGTTTATGTTTATAAAACCGACAGCGCACTATCGGTACCCTCAGTTTTAGAATAATGTTTTTAAAATGTATAGATGTGAATTGACCTTGACAAATTATTAAGCTAGGATTTATTATAGAATAGAGTTTTAACAATCTCGTTGAATAAAATTATTAATATTATTAATTTTTATTTAATTTCAAGTACCACTTACAACTTGAGAATCTATTGACCAATTGTTATTTTACATCTTTATATATATATTTAATCTATTTATAGGTGTCGGTGAAAATGGAACAGAAGATGCAGCTGAAAATGATGATAAATCTGAAGAGAAGAAAAAGAAAAAGCGCAAGAATAAGGGGAAAGGAGCAAATAAGGATCCAATAGCTTTCCCAGTTGTAACCTTGTATCCAGATGGTAATTTTCCTATCGGTGAAATAATGGAACATCCTGCAGCTCATGGCATTGACGAGAGCAAAGCCAAACACAGGTTTACAAGTGAAGAAGCAAGAGCTCTGGATCGCTCTCAGAATGATATGTACAATGAAGCTAGATTGGCTGCTGAAGCTCACAGACGTACTAGGAAGCATATTAAGAATTGGATAAAACCAGGCATGACCATGATTGAGATTTGCGAAGAATTAGAAACTGTTGCCAGGAGACTCATTGGTGAAAATGGTCTTAAAGCTGGTTTAGCCTTTCCAACTGGATGTTCTAGAAATAACTGTGCAGCACATTATACACCAAATGCTGGTGATAAAACTGTTCTTGAATATGATGATGTGACAAAGATTGACTTTGGCACTCATATTAATGGACGTATCATTGATTGTGCATTTACCCTTGCATTTAATCCAAAGTATGATAAACTCATTGAAGCTGTTCGTGAAGCTACGAATACTGGTATTAAAGCAGCTGGAATAGATGTTCAGTTATGTGATGTTGGAGCTGCCATTCAGGAGGTCATGGAATCTTATGAAGTTGAAATTGATGGAAAAACTTATCAGGTAATAGACAATTATTATATAATAACAATGCTGCAAGTTATGAAGTAATGCTTATCGCACTAACTCAATTATTATGTTTGAAGGTAAAATCTATTAGGAACCTAAATGGTCACTCCATAGCACCTTATCGAATCCATGCTGGAAAAACTGTGCCAATTGTTAAAGGTGGAGAAGCTACAAGGATGGAAGAGAATGAATTTTATGCTATTGAAACTTTTGGATCTACTGGAAAGGGCATGGTTCATGATGATTATGATTGTTCTCATTATATGAAGACTTTTGATTCTGGCTTTGTTCCATTGAGGTTACAGAGTAGTAAATCACTTCTCAATACAATCAACAAACAGTTTGGTAAGTATCCATTATAAAATAAAATAAAACTTGATGGTAATTATTCAAAAGAATAGGTAGATTGCTTTGTCAATGATAAATTTTATTCAATCAATATAGTTTTCATATTTATTTAATTACAACAGTTTACATTTTTACATATCGATTACAGACTAAATTTAATATTCTAAAATATATTTTTCCTCAATCATCTAATAGATATTTATTCATAGTAAATATCGATTTTCAAAGGGAAATCTCCATTTTGATTTTTAAACATTCATTTAATGTAAATGAGGTACAATCTAACATGATATACTCACTGAATTGTTAAAAGCTACTTATTATCATTTTAGGTACACTAGCGTTTTGTAAACGTTGGTTAGATCGTGCCGGCTGTACCAAATATCAAATGGCTTTGAAAGATCTCTGTGATAAGGGTGCAATTGAAGCTTACCCACCACTGGTTGACGTCAAAGGATCCTATACTGCTCAGTTCGAGCACACGATCGTATTGCGACCCACGTGTAAGGAAGTCATTTCGCGTGGCGACGACTATTAAAACGCAAGTCTTCACAAAAATTATCAACTCTATTGTCAAAAACACTGTAACAATTTTTTTAAAATCCATATATGTCTTGAGATGAGCTTTTAGAGTATTGTATTCTGTATTTTTAATTATAGTGACAGTGAATAACACGTTGTACAGGTTACTTCAGAAAGCACTTCAATTAAAAATTTTTTGGTACTCTGAAGGAGTGTTGATGTGGCATTAAAGTTGATAATCGAATTTGTTTGCAATCAAATGCATTAAGAGTTTTGTCACTGTATTTTTTTTCTTTTTTCATTTTGTAATTATGTAAACACGTTATACAAGTAACGACATTCTCTGTATAATCTTGCGTGCTGATTGATAAGTTGATTTTCTGGCTTGCTTTTTCTCTCAAAAGAAAATTGTGAGCTGGAAGAATGATGAAGCGAATCGAATAAAATGATTAGAATTTTTATTTGAATCTTTAATATCAATATTTTCTTTTATACATTCGTGTTATCTATAGTAGATCGATAATTATTATAATAGATCAAATACTCGTATAGAAAATAAAAAAATCAGCAATTACTTTTGATCCGTTGGCGTAGCTAACGTGTTAATACTCTCTTAAAATTATCGCGAGTTTTGTTAATCAAATGCAAATGCATAACCGGTTCAGACGTTATAACTAATAATGCGCCCTAATAAAATATCGTACAAGTAAGGCCTTAGTCGAAGACTCAAGACTATTCCGCAGCTGTCTTTCTCAACAGTTGATTGCCACGTTTGTTTTTCTTAATTTTCACTTTTCGGAGCTGGTCCCAAGGTTCAAATTGCACAGATCGATCGGTACGTTATTCCGTTCGTTACATACGTGTACGAAGATATATAAATATAATGTGGTGAGGTATAGGCAAAAGGACTCACACAAGTTATTTTAGCTTTCCCTGCTTAGAGCTATTTACACGCAGTTGTGAAAAAGCTTTCGCTTCAAAGAAACTTAAGATTCTCCAGTGCGTATAATATACTCGTTGTTTTTTACATAGATATTTGCGATGAGTTGTTTAACGCTTGTTTATCAGTAAAATAAAATCGATTCCTTTAATGTGTCTGGACAGCTATGTGCTTCACTGAGATTCCGTGCGTGACCGCAATTTTGCCCTCGCGGTCGCCAAGGGATTAAGCGGCTCCGTTGGTTGAGGTTGTTGCTGTAAACACAAGATAAATCTAAGTGCTCGTTTGGTGTCATTACAAAAGCGACCTAGTTTTCTTCTCGAAAGTTCATTTAGTGAAAAGAATAAATGGCATTATACGTTGTTATCGGGTCAATAGTAGAAATATTTAAATGGTTTTGAGAGTTGGTAATAAAATAGTACGGAGTCGCGAAAGCGAGCTTACCGACTGCTGTATGTGTTTCGCTCTTTGTTCGATGGCCCGCTGCAAAGCCGTTCGTGGATCACTTTTGTACGTTTCCTCCCTTTCTCTCTCGGCTTCTTTGCGAGACACCATTTCTCTGTGTCTCTCCAATGCTCGCTGGAGTTCGGACTTTTGATTAAGGACATTTTTGCCCCTGTAAATTGAAAGAAACAATGATCGAATTCGAGGCACAGGCTTCGAAATGCCTGCGGCCCTACGAAAATGGTAAAAAAACAGCTTGGAAACGAGAACAAAAACAATGAAATGTCGCGCGTGACATACATTTTTTGGTTGAACAGCAGTTCCCTGTGAAGATCTTTGTGGTTGGTGGAAGTTAAACATGGATTGTACGGCTTGCGGGGTAGGATGAGGCCATCTGGACCCATGTGTGGCGCAGGTGGCGGCGGCGGTGGAACTCCCAAAACCGGTGCCATTCTCTCCTTTCCTGCACATGCACAAGATAACATCCTCATTAGCGCATTTCTTTCTTTCGAAACGAGACTACTATTCGTTAAAACAATTTGCGCAGTATTATTCGATGAACAACATTATATCGCTAGTTCAAGACAACGTCGATAACAATCTTCATTGTTGACAAGCTGTTGTTAGCTGCTGTGGTAGAATAGTTTATCAAGCACTGAGCGATACCAACGGTAAGCACTATTCGTAAGCAGAAGCAGTCGAAGTATGCGCTCGAGAATTCGAGGTACATTCGAATTCGATCGAAGAGTTGTCGCAGAGATATATTTAAGGCACCGATCGAACGCTGCGTCCAATATTTTTGCCGACACAGTTTCGTCGTAGTCGCGCGAACGGTTATTGTCGAGAAAAAAAAAAAGGGTGAACGGGGAAAAAAAACCAAACGACCAAAACAGAAGAGGCATCGCAATCGGTCGCGTCCGATCGAAAACAATTCAGGAAGCAAACTCGACGAACCGGACGAAGAGATAAGGCTACGTATACGGAACCTTCCAAAAAGGCGACCCTCGATCGCACCGTCGAAGCGATTTCCTCCTCCCCTTCCGACTCGAACATCGTGCTACTGGCTCGCGCATGTGACACTATACTGTCCGCGAGGCGGCATTCCCCGCGTGTATATCAAAAGAACCCAAGCCGCGCAACGTATATATCTGTTTTTGCGTAAGGCTTCGTCGACAGTCGCGACCTAATTGGATATACGGAAGTGCGAGGAAGAGCCAAGGTTGCGAGAGCAAGCGTCGTATGTGCACTGGATCTGACCCTCTGCGAGAACGCGTGTCTTTTTACTATTCTTCAATTTTTTCGTTTCGGTGTCGAGATACGTAATTTAGCTGTATATGCTTCGCTGTACGTGTACACACACACACACGCACGCACATTTATGTACATGCCGTTCGATCACCATTTCATTCCGATACGACGTACACAATACGACGTACTCGAGCTGTGTGTGCCGCACTTGCGCTCGAATGTAAATATTGACTCGTCGGCCGTCGCGATCATCCAAAACTTTTCACGGTTCACGTGTACGCGCCGCGGGCAAGCGTTCCGAGCGCGTGACGCGCGTCCGAAAACCGACGCAGCCGCGTAAAAAGTTTAACGTCGCCGGCAATTTGAGAGCGCGGGCATAGCAGGCGTTGACCCAATTGCGCTCACACCGGAGCCGCGATTTTTTTTCTTTTGTCGTGCTTTTATTTCTTTTCAGATCGTCGTTCGCGCGCGCGAGCCAACCGGAGTGCGGCGCCGATACGTCGACGGTGCTCCAATTTTCGGGTGCGTATAGCAAATCAATTTGCTCGACCGTAATGAGGCGCGCGCTGGCCGAAACATGGCAATCGGACAACATTATTTGCAGGCAAAACTGAGACTAAGCGACGTCGTTCCGTGCAGCGCATACGAAAATTTTTATCGCGCCGCTGGCGTCGGTTTTCTCCCGCGCGCAAGACAAACATAGAAATTCGGCGTGGCGAGTAATGGCATAGAAAGCACTCGTGCATATATGCTGCTTCAAGGATAATTATGCGAGCTCCTTTTTAAACGCGCGCAGCCGCGAGATTAGCAATTGCCATTGTTTATTTTGGCGCGCGCGCGAAAAGACGATGTGCGACTTCGATAAACAAAATGACGGCGCGAGTGTTATACATTTTCTCCGCGACATATATATCGATTCGTGCCCAATGGGAACATTTAGTTTAGCGACATAACGTCTCTCAAGAAAAGGAGAATAAATGCTCTGACTTTCTTGTAGCGGCAACAAAACGACGTCGATTTACCGATACCAAGACTTTCTGAATTCTGCAGTGACACGTATAACAGCGACATTCCCCCTCCTGCCCTTCCGGACGATGAATCGCATAATTGATCGAGCCGGAGGTGCAAGAGAAATGCATTTTTTGCAATCGAGTTCTCTACCACGACGTGCTTGAAAGCCGTCCGCGTCTCGGTTTTTTTTGCGACGAGAATTTTATTTGGACTAAAAAAAAATCAAAAAGACCTTTATAAACCGCGAACGACGATTTAATTTCACTTTCACTCGTGAATCGGGAAATTGCGATTCGCCGCGCGCAGCACTATCAAACCGCTGTAACGATGCGGTTGGAGACGCATTTTTTCCCTCGTTTCTATTAAACTTTCATACGGGCATTTAAGAAAAGTGCCTTCCTGTCTACCGACGCCAATGTTAATTTTCAAGACCTATGTATGATAGGAAAAAATTTTTCCTTTTTCTCCTTCGCGCAATTGAATAATACAACGCTCTTACGTAAAATATACAATTCTGATATGTAGAGAAAGCGTTTTCCCGCGAAAAATGAATCGTATGATATTGCAACAAACAATTAAGAATCTTCAGTGTGCCTAATTGAAACGTTATGACGTACAAACTAACGCGGTCTGCAATCGAAACGCCCGATCTCACAATTATCCTCGTATACCTACGAAAATAACAATTTTGCCCATCTGCGGGCAAACTCGTTCTTTTCTTTTTCTCTTTTGGCAAAACGATCGCTTTCACCGAATAAACGACATTATGCAACGTGCGCCCGTGGTGCAATCTCGATTATCATTGCTATTGCGCACGCAGTATGTTTTTAATGTTGTTAATTAAGAGGCCCGTCTCAGCGCGAAGCACAAAAGAGCTGAGCAGTCGCCATAAGGAAATCAGCTCCGCGGCACTTTCACTGAGAATTGCAAAACAATGCAGCGTGCGAAAGCCGACACTTTTTTTTTCAGCTCGCTCGGCCTATCGATCCTCTCCGCTATGGAAGAGAATTTAATGATGGACTGTATCTCCCCTACTCCTTGATATTTCGCTGCCTTTCTCTCTGCAGTTTCCTTTTGTTTGCGAGATCTATCGCGAAATTTTCACGGAGCGGCAGCTAAGTATCGCGGTGGTTTTGCGTAGCATTGATATTTTGCAGCGAGTAAGCGCACAAAGATTCTTTCGCAGCTGGCGAGTAAATAAGGTTCAGCGATACCGCCTTGCAATTCGCGCAAATGACAATGTAAATATTGATATTTGATAACGTTAATCAAGTCGACGCCAGATAATGCAATCTCGTAAGATTTTTTTTTGTTATGCAATAGCACGGATGATAAATAAATTGACGATCCAATCTCATCGAAACGTTCTAGCTTCTCAAGTTTTTACGGAAGAAAAAAGAATGAGAGCGGGCGTCGATTCGCGCGCGAACCGTCAAGCCCAAAAGGCCTCGTATCAAATAAAACGCAATCGCAGGTAATCCGAGCGAGAGACCTGCTGAGAAATACATATGAAAAAATGCAGGATAGCGAGGTAATCGCTCAATGACGCGCCACGTCGGAAGGAGCAGCAGAGAGAGAGAGAGAGAAAAAAAAAAGAGCCGGGCGCAGTGTGTCGGCAAATCGAAAAGCAATCTCGCGGCCGACTGCGTGTACAGAGCCCGAGGCGCAGTGGCAATCTCGGGCGCGCCAGAGCGGGAGGGTCAAAATTAAGCCCCGAGCCGCGCAGGTTAACGACCGGATGCAGCTGCTGCATTTCTACCTGTGCGCGTTGGATTTTTTTCGTTTCTTCCGCGACGGCGAGGGAGTACGTGTCTTTGAGAAACAAAATTGCCCCCCCCCCCCGGCAACGTTCCTTTTGTTTTTCCTACCCGTGCGTTCGTTTGTTAAACAAACGCGCGAACGCCGCGCTCGTCCCCTTCGCTCCTTCGCGCTCGATTCGAATGGGCGAAGCGCGCCGCTGCTTTCTTCGTCCTGCCGCACGTCGACGAACCCTTTGGAAACGCGCGGCGGCGATTCGCAAAGCCATCGATCGGGCAATAAAGAGATAGATCGCGCAACGGAAACTCATCGGCGCAGGTAGGAAGGCGCTTGCGGGATGCATATTTCGTTTTTGCTCGCGAGCGATCGTTGCGAATCCCGATGGCAATTTGCCGCAGCTCGCATACCTGGCGCGCGAAGGTTTTCGCAAGATCAACGACCCGACTCGATTTTAATCAGCCGTCCGACACTTGATGAGCCTCTCGCGCTCTCTCGGCGACTTGATCCGCTGCATCGTTAAGCCTTTTAATTGAGGAACGAACTCGATCGATGCTACGTACTTTATTACAAAGAGGAGCAACTCGGAAGCGGCTTTCGCGTAGACACGTCGTTCGCAGACGTGCCAAATCGCGCGATCACCGTTTAAAGAGAAGATGCGAGCAGCTTCGACTTTAACGAGCTGAAAGTGAAACTTTTTGTACTTTTTCGCGCGCGAATGTCGACGACCTTTACAGTTACAAAATTTCAAGGGGGGAAAAAATGAGAGTGAACAACTCGTTAATGCGCGGATGTGTTCGACCATTGGTCTCGTACGCGTGACGTTCGGCCGACTGGCTTTGTGTACCTTTTAGTTTGCAGCGGACACTTTTTGATTTATGAAAGTTTCTATGCGATTCGACGACGCTGCATATGTACTTTTGCATGAGTATTTCTTTTTTTTCTACTTTGAAATTCTAATGATATTTGTTCAAGTAAGTATATCCAGTAGACGGAGCTCGTTAAAATAAAATACTTTCAGATAAGTCATTTCGAAAATCAATCTTACAATTTTGTCAGTACGACTTTCACTGAAAAACTAACAAGTATACTTTTTTCCAGAATTGTAAAACTCCATCGAATTAAAAAATCGTCAAGCTGTGATATGTACACACGTTCTTCTGATTCAAGATGAACATTGATTGTCACACTTGAATGAATTTGCAAGTGGGGACATAAATGCGACTCTTTTAACTATTCCAACTTGTCAGTGTATATTGCAAAAAAATTGCGCGCGCGACTGTCCGAATCCTCTAAAATTGACTGTCCGACTAACCGTGTCTCGTTTCCTGTGGGCACTTTCTCCTTGTTTACAGGCCACTTAACATCTATATTTCTTTTTTTTCGCCTTATGATTGGCAAGTTTACGATCTCGTAGCCTTGGATTATTATGAGAAGGGACGACGACGAAGTGGCGCGCGTGGAACAACCGACGCGTAAATCTTATGTGGCAATTATTTCTCTACTAATCCGGACAGGGGGAGAGGAAGCGAATTTTTCTGCGGCTTTATTCCGTTCACCTTGACATTATCATACGCGCGTCTCGAAGCGTGCGACCGTGCGCTTTGTTTTTTTTTTTTTTTTTTCTTTCTTTTTCGTTGTCTCTGAGAAGCAAGACTATCCGGTATATTTCTTAACAACGCGAATCGGCGGAGCTAAGAAGACATGTCTCGCTTATAATCCGTCGGCTTCTCGACAAGATCAGCTTTCAAGATCGCTCGGCATTCAGCATCCAAAGGGCGTCCAGCGTGGCGAGGAAAAACGAGAATCAAAGGGCACTCAACGGGACAATGGATCGCGCGAAGGAACAAACTGGGTCGGCAATAGGCTTAGCCCAAATCTTTAGCCGACGACCGAACAAAAGAAAAGCACTCCTCGGCGTGCATGCATGCAAGCACGCGGCGCGGCGGCAACGGAGTCACAAGTCGGTTATCGTGCGCCGCTCGCTCGACACCAAAACCCAGAACTGCCCCCGCGCACGTACGCGCGGCTGCTATCGCGCGCCACGAATCTGCATGCATTTGGCGCACGCCAGGGCTAGAGGGGTCGTAATCGTCGCGCACCCTTGCATTACCGATTGCTGTCGCGCGTGAGTGCCCGGGGGGGAGGGGGGGGGGGCTGTCGTTGAGCCTTTGTCCACCCTCTCCGAGACCACTGGCCAATTTCAATGGCGATTCTTTCGAGCGCTCGGCCGCGTAGATGGGATGATGCGATCGCGGTGGACGAACGATGTACGCGCAATGCGTGATTCATACATCGACGGAGACAGATTGAAAATGATGGAGTGTCATCTGGCTCGTACGCTTCATTGAATTCGAATCTGACCAGGAATGTTGCCGTTGCATATATGCATAGTTGCGTCTCAATTATTACTGCGAAACTTTCACTGTTACGTATCCCACGTTTTTTAAGTCTACCGTTGCATGGACATTCTAAGAATTGGATCCGTAGTAATGTAACGATCTTTGATTGAAGGTTATCGGATTATTAGCTGAATAATTGAGAAACGATAATTGCAAAGTTAATAATTTTTTTTTTTTGCTGCGAGCAGTATTGTATGTTTGAAATAAATTTCAGATCAGTTTCCAAAACTGAACTGAAAACACTTAAATTCAATTAAATGAAAACATGTTTTATTTGTGATTGTTATCTTTAATTGAATTGAACCTTGCAGACCTCGTTCCAAAAGTGTTGAAATGTTTGAATGCCCAGAATATTAAGTTTTGCGGTGTCAATTTCAAATAATTGTTATCGAACTTTGCTATATTTTTCAAGCTAATCGAACAAGATGAAAATTTTCGTGTAATTTGTGGAAACGACCATCTCTTTTCACATTTCTTACAGAACCGCCGTCTTCGCAAGGGACAGTCGAAAGAGAAGATACGTAAATAGTAAGCAAGCAGCCTACTGCCAGAAAAAAAACACACACATCCGCGCTGAATAAAACATAGCACAGAAGCAGTTTTATAACAACTACGTGTAATGTGCCTGCATGAGAAAACGAGTATATAGTGACTCACCGTTATGCGGACCGTCGTACTCGTCGCTGGATGCACTGCCGTTGGTAATCACCTTTAAAAGAAGAGAGTAACGTCATTCGATTATTTCGACAAACACGAAATTTCATGCAATTAAAGTAACTCGACGCTGCGGGTTCGAAAAATTCTGATAGGAGAGAGAAAGAGAATGTCTTTTATTTTTCGAGGCGTCGCGGACATTCAATTATCCTTGTAATTGACCGGTAATTGGTGTGTCGGATAGGGAAAAAGAAGCAGCATTGCCTGGAGTTTCGAGATCAAACAGATGCCACGCTACTGGATCGAGACGACGCGTCTGTCGTGGGCATGGAAGTAATTAAGTGATATGGCTGTTAAATATAATTTCATCGCGTGATCTCGCGAATGTAAGCAATTTATCACTCAAAATGATTAATTTCGTTTTTCGTAGCGTGTGTTGCGCAATTCGACAGAGAGACGTTCGCAATTAAAAAAAAAAAAAAAAAAAAAAAAAAATGAGAAAAAACAACAACGCGATCGTCGTTCGTTCGAATCTTGTTGACGAACGAAGCACATATCAACTCGCGCAACGCTGTGCTCATGAGGCGACCACATGTCGAAACAATTATTCCGTTCTGGCCTAAATCTGCAAACGGAACATTCCGTTTTCCGAATTTGAGTTTACAAGCGTGTCTACTTCAAACGGGCTTTTACGAATAACGAGCATTCCGACGGCCGTTGGAGCTCCGAAACGGCCAATAAGCCGCTCTCGTAAACTCGTCGCTTGTATTTTCGCAGCGATCGTAGTTACGCCGCGCGGTGGGTTCGAACCTTCGACGCTCAAAGAGCGCGATCCTTTTTTACTCGTAAAGGCCGTTTATTTTTCTCGCGCGCTCGTCGCCCATGATCGTACCGTTAGCGCGGCTCTTAACACTCTCGCTTCGATTATTCCCATTAGCGTGCTTTCGCGCGCGAGCGTCGTGCCTTTTATTACATCTCCAAAGGTTTATTATCCGTGTAGTTGCAAGCGCGCGGTTTCGTTCTTTCCGGTGTGATTGTTTGAAAACCGACCGGATTTACAAGAGAGCGCTTTACCGCTCTTTTTTTTTCTCCTTTTACGACTGAAAAGCGCACTCGTTTTCTGGAGCATTGATCATTGTGTTTTTTCTTTAACGATTGTCGAAGTACCAAGAAAGTAGAGTAAATATTTTGTTCAACGCCAACTTACGTTTGTTTGAACGCGAATGGCACCAACCTTGTGATTTTCTTTTTGTTTTTTTTTTATCAGTAATGGTCAGACAAGAGATACGGAGGGTATCGAGTGATTAACAAAGGAAAGATGTTTGCGAATTTTTCTTAAGCTTATCTACGTTTATTTCTCGCCAAAAAGCATTTCTATACACAACGTCGTAGAGCTTTGCCGTTGATATCAGATCAAACATAGACACGCCGCCTACTCGCTGATATATCAGAATAAATATTGTCGTAACTTTCCCAAGCAACGTCGCGACGGCAATCTAAGCAAAGTCATGATTCCGCATTCGTTATTCAATGGTTCCGCGTCAAAGCCTGGACGTCGGCTATGGCGATTTTGCGACGTTTCCTCTGGACCAGTAACGAAACGGACGACTACCAGCGAGATTTTTGGCAAGGGGGCTGCGCATAATCGGCACTCGCGATGGCAAACGTGTCTCTCCTCTGCGGGCCCACCTTCCGCGCCGCGACTATCGCCTCCTTCCCTGCTTCATTTTCGTTGATACTCGACGCGGCTTATACCAATCGCTTCTTTGGGCGCCACCGCGTCAGCCCAAACGAAAACAAACGTATCCGAAGCATAATTACAACGCTTCACTTTACGCGTCATATCGGGAACGAATTCGTTATCGTGGCAGCCCGCCAGTTTGCTTTTTTTTTCACCGTTGCGCATGACCTCAACAAAATAGTACGCGATTGCGCCAAGTTGCGCGTCCGATTACTAGCGAACTGAGAGATTCCGAAATCGTGCGTGCTTTTTCTACGTTGATTCCCGCCGTGCGACGCGATTGTGCCCAGTGCTTTTTTTTTCACGCGCTCTTGTACAATAATAAATTCAGATCTAACGCAGTGGACTCGAACGCGCCTAATGGAAATTAGCCGCGAGTAGCGCGAGTAACGGAATGCCGCAGTTATATGCATATGTATAGCGGATCAGAGCTCTCACCGTGAGCTGGGACTGCGTGCCTTTCGATTTGTATCTCGAGTTATTTCGACGTGCTTCGATTGTCATCTTTCGTGATGATACTTTTCAGCAATCGTCGAACTAAAGAAAGTCCAGTGTTTTGAAAGAATTACCTAATGCGTAATGTTTCAATAAATTCGAGCAAGACTTCATTCGAGAAATCGCATTCCCAAAGTAATTATAGCTTGCCAGTTACGTTGCGTTGATACTCTCACAGTAACATAGTATTAGCCGAAGGACTGAGCCGAACATTTCGTTGTTCCGTTCTGTCTTATTTTTTAGCAACATTTCTATATCTTATTATCTGGCAAAAATAACCTAAATCATGTTTTCTAGGTAATTATACTTATGTAAGTTATGTTGCTTTGGTATGTTATATGAGCGGTACGATACGTTGTCAGTCATCAATAGTTGATAAAATTTACGCTATAATGCCACTATCACCAGAGGGACGCGTGATTAGTAAATGTTTCGCAAGTGAATTCGTACGCATGATGATTGATAATCGTCATTAATTCGAAGATTCAAGCGGAAATTGTCCATTAATAATTTACGCGTGAATTTTATGAAAAATGATGAAATTTTATGAAACTTTTACTTTATAAATCCATTGCAAGCGTGAAAATTCGAATGTTCGCAATAAATCACGAAACCAGATTTTTGCGAAAGCTACGCAGCAGCAACGCATAAAGACACGTCGGCCTCCGAGCATAGCGTTCAAACAGTGCCGCCCACGCGCGCGTCTTTTACCAGAAACCTAGACGGCCAACGGAAGCAAACGAAACGGACGATCGTGAAGCTTTGAAAAGGAAAATTGTGTGGCCCAAGCGTAAATAAACCTACGGGGGGGGGGGGGGGGGGGAGCGTAGCTAAACGTGCGTGTGCGAGCGCTTAGGTATTTACGGAGAACTGTCGAACATTGAAAACGAAATGGGAATGACGCGAAGGGAGGTTTGTTATATCGACCGGGGTCAAAACAAAATGCACTAGGCGCAATCTTGAAGAGCCGTAGGCGCTGCGGTAATTCGGTGTCGACGCGCGACAAATTTTCCGAGAATACAGTTTGCGCGCGACCGATTTGGCGATATTGCCGGTAAACTTTGGAAAAAAAAGCACTTGGTTGCGAGCGAAGAAACGCGAGGTCCGTACGAGTGTATGGAAAAAACGTGCGCGACGGAGGATTCCTCTTCGCTGTACAGGCGAATGAGAAAATAGATAGATCGACACTGGTCTTGAGACTGGCATTCTCCGTGTTATCGTGTGGCCACCACGCGAATAATGAATCGCAGCCGAGAGTACGACAGGAAGGGCGTCGAAGCACGATATCGCGTCGATCGACGAGACGCTGTGACCTTGCGCGGGAGAATCGGCGCCGCGACGGACACCCCGCAGCACTTGAGAACAAGACAAACGGCGGCGCTCCGTGTACGTACGCGCGCGCATCTCACGCTCGGAAAACCATAAACTCCCATTAGGTAGGAAGGCCCTTGAACTCGAGTCCCGCCAAGCGTACATATACAAATAGTCCGCGGCGCTTGAAAAACCAAATGCACGCGCAATCGCCGTCCTCGATTAAACCGTCTGCGGAATATCACTACGGTGAAATTCATCTCTACGCGTTTGCAGCTTCTTATCTGTTAAGCGAACGCGTCTGGAATTTTTCAATTAGGAAACTTATATCTTGCGCACGTTGTTTATACCGCGGCGGTGTTTATTTATAGTTGTGGATTTAGATGGAGCCTTACATTAGCGCGGCTCTACACATTTTTTTTTTCACGTGGTGGCTGAAAAAACTTATAGCATCTATATTCTTCTTTTCCTGCCAGATATTTTTGTGAGCTCGGTTTCAGGCCGCTGGTGCTTTCTAAAAAATCGTTTTATTCGCCAGCTCTCCGTTTATTTGTTTTTTTCTCTCTAAAGAAAGTGTAATTTGAACTTGATAGCGTTTGGATTAGAATAAATTACGCGCCCATTATTCGTGCTACTAACACGGAAAAGAAAAGAAATAAAATAAAATGCGACACATAAGTTTCACATAATTTAACGCCGTTAAATTGTCCACGTCGAAGTAGATTGTTGGTTGCGCCTAATAGCTGAACAATTTAAATACCAACGATTTTCAGTTCAAGTTAAACAAGCCAGACAACAACAGTTAATACATCTATAACATTTGCATGTTAAAAACGAAATTGCCGTGAGCACGCCATTTCCATACTCGCCGCTCGCGCGCGCTCATAAAAGGCGCAGAAGGCGCGGAACCCAGTGTACTTGGCATTCCGTAAACCTTTCGTTTTTCTCTCTGTTATTCCACCTGCCGGTGCGTTTTAGCGATAAAACGCGCAGTACTTTCAATTTTATAACAAACGATATTTCAAGAGTTCCTTTCTTTGCTTACGCGTGTATGCCGCGAATATTTTTCTTTTTTTTTTTTGTTTTTCTAGATGTTTGATTGGCGCGGCCTCTTTGGCAGCACGTTGCCGCGTACGTTTTATTACCTCGCACCGTCGATGATGAGACGCATAGGCGCGCGCGCATATGCATTTTATGTGCTCGGCCATTTTCGGTTCAAGGCGGTGGATTGACGCTTCTGCCGTTATTAATAGTCTATCGATTAACCACACGGCTGACTTTTTAACACTGCATTCCTTGGAAACGCCATTGACGTCAATTACACTACGGCTACTTTCAACGCGTAATGGCGCTATATTGGACAAATTATTTTTGGAAATCTACTCGATCCGAGAACAAACGTGCCGATCGAACAGCGCAACGTGAGCGATTGCAGAAGTCAAAGCTTATGTACGTGTTAACGATACCTGCAGCATTGATTCCTCGGGAACCAACTGTCAATTTCTCTT